CTGGGGGTTGCCCCCAGCCACATCAGAGGCTCGGAGCGGGCACCCCTCTGTTGATCTCTCAGGCTCTGGGCTGTGCCTGGGTGTTGTTCTCTCAGGCCGGGGCCAAGCCTGGACCCTCCTGAGCTGGTCGTGACCTTTGTGGAGTCTCGACCTCATTTGCATATTACTGCTTTATAGATTAACTAGAGGCCTGTTGCACAAAGAGATTTGTGCTATAGGCCTTCCTTTCCCCTGGCTGCTGGCACCAGTTTGCCTCCGGCACCCAGGGCCCAGGCCTTCACTCTGGCCGAGTTCTGGCCAAGTTCTGTCCGGAGCCGGCCCTGGAAACGTCAGGCCTCGCTGGTCCGCCGGCCCTGGAAATGTCAGGCTTCGCTCCATCGCTTGGAGCCTACGGATGCAAATTAACCATCTGGTTAAGTTTACCATCTTATATGGGTGTGGTTTATGCTACCCTAAAATAATTATAATAGTAATATCGAAATTCGCTGGTCACAGATCACCATAAGAAATGTAATAGTAATGAAAAAGTTGAAATATGACAAAGACACAAAGTGAGCAAATGCGGTTGGAAAAATGCCACTGATAGACTTGCTCAGCACAGGAATCCCACAGACCTTCAATTCTAAAACACATTATCTGTGAAATACAATGAAGTGAAGTGCAATAAAATGAGGTATGCCTATATAAGGAATATATTGAAATGTTAACAATTAGTATTCTTGGGTATGGCATTGATGGGTGTAGCAGTTTCCTGCTGCTACATAACAAATTACCACAAACTTAGTGGCTTAAAACAGCACCCATATTTATTAGCTAACAGTTCTGTGGATCAGAAATCCAGCAAGGTATGGCTAGGTTTTCTGCATAGGGTATCAGAGGCTAAAATCAAGGGGTCAGCCAAGCCAAGTTATCATCAGGAAGCTCTGTTCCAAGGTCATTCTTGTTGGCATAATCCTGTTCCTTTCAGTTGTACAACTGAGGTCCCATTTCCTTGCTGGCTGTAGTCAGGGGCCACTTGGCTCCTAGAGCAGCGGTTCTCAACCTGTGGGTCGCAACCCCTTTGGCAGTCAAACGACCCTTTCACAGGGGTCGCCTAAGACCATCCTGCATATCAGATATTTACATTACGATTCATAACAGTAGCAACATTACAGTTATGAAGTAGCAACAAAAATAATTTTATGGTTGAGTCACAACATGAGGAACTGTATTTAAAGGGCCAGAAGGTTGAGAACCACTGTCCTAGAAACTGCCTGCATTTTTTGCTACATGGTCCCTTCTGTCTTAAAGACAGCAGTGATACTAAGTCCTTCATAGGCTTCAACTCTCTGACTTTCATATCTTGCAAACAGCTAGAGAAAACTGTTTTTAAAAGGTTTGGGCCCACCTTCCTATCTTAAGGTTGACTGACTTGGAATCATAATGACCTCCAAAATCCCATCAGAGCAATACCTCAATGAGCGTGTGAGTCGCTGGGAGAAAGTATGTGTACACAGGAGCTGGAGAATCTTGATGGGGTTGAGGGTAGAGGGCAGGGTAGAGGGCATCATAGGATTCTGCCTACCTTGATGAGTGATCTTTATTTTTTTTAAGCTTAGTTGTATTTTCACTAAATTACACATTGAACATGATATTTTGGGGTTTGTGTTTGCATTTTTGTATTTTTTTAGTTTCTAAGCTATATTTTGAATTCTTTTTACTAACAAATATTAGATGTTTATAAATCTGTTTAGCTTGTTTTTTTCCTCATAGCCTGTCTATCATATCTTCTTTATAATAGAAGCCATAAAACTCTAGACTAATATGATGGTGTTTAGACTCATTCCCTCTAAATAATTGTGGAAACTCAAGAAAAGAATACTTCCCAGTATTCCTTAGAATAATGCCACTGGTCCTAAGCTTTTAAAAAGAAGTCTAAGAACTAAAGTGGGGTCACATATAGTAGGGTGCAGGCGTCCTCAAACTACAGCCCGCAGGCCACATGCGGCCCACCGAAAACATCCGGCCTGCCGGGTGTTTTTGCCGCCACAGTGTGCATAGGAATTTGTTCATAGTTTTTTTTTAAACTATAGTCCGGCCCTCCAACAGTCTGAGGGACAGTAAACTGGCCCCCTTTTTAAAAAGTTTGAGGGCCCCTGGTATAGTGGTTAAAATCAGAGGGTAGTGAGTCATCCTGGTTCTGTATACATCTATTACATGCATAACAGGCAAATTACTTATCTTCTGCACCTCATTTTTGTCCATCTGGAAAATGAAGGAAATAGTAGTATCTATCATAGAGGATTGTTGGGAGGATTGAGTGAGTTAGCACAGGGTAAGGGCTCAGTAAATGTTATCTGCTATCCTTGTTCTTGTTATTTAGGGATGGGGTAAATTTTACCTATCTGAAAGTCTGAAGGCTTATCCTGACTTTTCTGTTAACCTGCTGTATGATCTTAGGAAAGTTATGGACATTTATTGGCATTCTCTGTCCGTAAAAATATAATTTTGGAATAGGTTGTCACTATGGCTCCTAAAATTTAGATGGTATAGTTGTGTTTTTTGGATAAGAATGACATTAAAACTATTGGGGATAATAGAATTCAATAAGGTATCTGATACAAAAATAATATGTACACATTACTAACCTTACTATGTACAAACACCAGTTGAACGAGTCAATAATGACTCCTATAAAGAAGTCAAGTCTCTTCAGAAGAGAGACTTCATTCACTGCTATAATACCAGCATCTAAAGCAGTTCAAATATTTGTTGTGAAATGACTGTTCTCAAGGAATTCCCAAGCTAGTGGGGAAGGCAGACAAGTAAGCCATTACAGTGCACTGTGGTAAGTCTTATGATAGAAGCAAAAATGCTAAAGATTACAAGTATTTCTGCTGGATTTTAGATTTTTTTTGTGTTCTACTTTTGCCCTCCTCAGCTCTGTTGGAACAAGGAAATAAACTACGTAATGCCATGGTGGTTTCTGCAATGAAATCAAGCCCAGATACCAGCATGTTGTTGGACGAAGTTCATCCTCCTGTGAAGGAAGATTTTCTTAAAGCATCAACACAGTAAGCTATAAAATAAACATGAACCCCAACAGTATATTTTTTGATAGTTGTTAACATGTGTTTTGTCAAATTATGGACTAAATAATTTTGGAAGTATTCAGCAAACAATTCTTAAAGTGGTAGAAAAGAAGCCTAAACTAAAGTTAAGATAATCGAAATCTAAACCTAGCACTGGCACTTACTAAATATGTAAAGGACTAAATTCTTTGCTCCCTCTGACCAGTATGCCTGTATTTGGAATGGGGATATTCTCTCCTCCCTCTCTTACAGAAATGACATGAGATTCTAATGTAGGAAAAGGCTTTGTAAATTATGAAATTTTATGTATATTTAAGATAGTTAAATCTAATGTGTGCTAGATTTTCCCTGCTGCACCATCTTTTAGCTCAATTAATCTAATTTACATTATTTTCCATGTGTCAGCCTCTCAGAAAGTATTTTCCCACACCTTAGAATCAAAGCCTTATCTAAGAATCAATTTAAAGACCACAATGAAGATCACCTCCTCCCTCTAACTGAGAACAAATTTTGGAAACATGACACAAAAGCTGATACCAGAGCCATACAGCTACTATTGGGCAGGTAAGAGCTCTTAACTAGCTTTCTTTGCTTTAAATTTTTTGGCTCTATCATTGTGTACATTGTTCACAGATTTATCTTCATAAAGTAACACTTCCTTAGAAAAACCAAGAAATTCTCTTGCTTACTTGTTGCACACTAAATAAAAACCCATTATTCATTACCCAATAAGTAAAAATTTAATCTTTAGCCTTTTGTTCTTTTTTTATTTTTAGAAATTATTTTTATTTTTTAATCCTCACCTGAGATATTTTTCCATTGATTTTCAGGAAGAGTGGAAGGGAGGAGAGACAGAAACATCAATGTGAGAAACATCGATTGGTTGCCTCCCACATGTGCCTCAAGCAGAGAGGGGCAATCGAGGTACATGACCTTGACCAGAGACAAACCCAAGACCCTTCAGTCCACAGGCTGATGCTGTGTATCCACTGAACCAAACCAGCTAGGGCCTTTTTTAAAAAAAGAGTTTTTATTTATTTCAGAGAGGAAGGGAGAGGTAGAAAAAGATAGAAACATCAGTGATAAGAGAGAATCATTGATCGGCTGCCTCCTGCATGTCCCACACTGGGGATCGAGCCCGCAACCCGGGCATGTACCCTTGACCGGAATCAAACCCAGGACCCAGCAGGCCAACACTCTATCCGCTGAGCCAAACCAGCCAGGGCCGCCTTTTCATTCTTATCTTCCAACTTTATCCCCAACACCAGTGTTAAAGTATAATGAAAAGAGAATGGATTTTACATAGACACAAGTTGAAATTTGGAGTCTGTCTCTTATTACCTATTAGGGGCCTGGTGCACAAAATTTGGTCATGGATAGAGTCCGTAGGCCTGGCCGGCGAACAGGGCCAAATTGCAGGGCGACCGGCAAAGTGATGTGGGGGAGGGGGAATGGCCCCACTGGCACCTGCATTGTCTGGCCTGCGGGCTGAGGGCAGCTCCTGCATTGAGCATCTGACCCCTGGTGGTCAGTGTGCATCATAGTAACCAGTCGTTCTGCCATTCGGTCATTTTGCAAATTAGGCTTTTATTATAGAGGATGTGGCTTGCACAATTAGGCAGGAAAAAATAAGCAGGGTTCTAATTGTAAAGGAGCAAGTAAAATTATCTCTAGTCACAGGTGACAGGATCTGGTATATGGAAAATCCTAAGGAATGACTAAAAAATAATTAGAACTAATAAATTCAGGAAGATTGCAGGATACAAGATTAATATAAAAAAAATAAGTTGTATCCTTATAATAAAACCCAAATATGCAAATCGACCAAATGGTTGAATGACCAGCCGCTATTATGCACACTAACCACCAAGAGGGAGGTGACTGGCAGCAGTGAGTGGGGTGCGGGGCCTGCCAGTGGAAAATGAAATTAATAAATAATTCATTTACAGTAACATTGATAAGAATAAAGTACTTAGGGATAAATTTAACAAAAGTATAAAATATAAACTCTGAAAACTGCAACACACTGTTGAAAAAAATTTTAAAGATCTGAAACCTGGAGGTGGGACCCCATGTTTATTTTTCAATGCAATCCCTATTGAAATCACAGCTGACTTCTTTGTGGAAATTGACAAGCTGATTTATAAAATTCCTATGAAATTGCAAGTGATTCAGAATAGCCAAAACAATCTTGAAAAAGAATTTAGGAGGAGCATTCACACCTCCCTATTTTTAAACTTCCTACGAAGCAACAGTAATCAAGTCAGTTTGGTACTGGCGTAAGAACAAACATATAAATCAATAGACTAGTCTAAAAAATAAACCTATGTGTCTATATTCAACTGATATTCTACAAGAACAACAACAACATTCATTGAGTAGTCTTTATAACAACTCGTGCTGGGATACCTGGCTAGCCACACATTTTCTAAAAATGAAGTTGGAACCTTACCTCAAATCATGTCCAAAAATTAACTCAAAATGGATCAAATAGCTAAACAGAAGAGCTAAAACTATAAAACTCTTGGAAGAAAACATAGAGGTAAATTTTTATGACCTTCATTTGGGGAAGGATTCTTAGATATACCAAAAGCACAAACAATAACAAATAGATAAATTAGAAATAATAAAACTTTAAAATATTTGCCCTGGTCAGTATGGCTCAGTTGGAGTGTCGTCCCATGCTCCGAAGGATCTTGGGTTTGATTCCTGGTCAGGGCACATACCCAGGTTAAAGGTTCAATTCCCAGTTGGGGTGCATGTAGGAGGCATGTTTCTCTTTTTTAAAAAAATATTTTTATTGATTTCAGAGAGGAAGGGAAGGGAGAGAGAGATAGAAACACCAATGATGAAAGAGAATAACCGAAGCAGTTCCTCTGAAAGAGATTCAGAAAGTAAATGAGCAACTTCTACACATCAGACAAATGAGAAAATAACCCTGCAACTGCACCACACAGTCGGGAGAAAAGCCCTAACTCCTAGCTTCTCCCTGATTACAATTTGGACCACACATCCAGTGCCCCAACTTTTAGAACTCCCACCACAAAGAGACGGGGCTCCCAAAATGTCTAGCTCTGAAAACTAACAGGGCTATGTCCATCCTATCTAATAAAAGAGAAACATGGTAATGGGCGTACAACCGCTACCCTTCCCATTGGCTAATCAGCAAGATATGCAAATTAACTGCCAGCCAAGATGGCGGCCAGCAGCCAGGCACCTTGAAACTAACATGAGGCTTGCTTGCTTCAGTGACAGAGGACTCCAACGTTCCCCGCCTGCCACTGCAGGCCTCTGACCTGCAACTCTAAGCAACTATGTAACAAAAGTAAAAGCTAAACAAAACCCCAGAAACCTACTTTAGTCCAGGGGCTTCAGCCAGCAGGATTGCAACATTGTAAGCAAAAGCCAGAAACCTACTTTCAGCAGCGGAGGCCTAAGAGCTGGAGCCAAGCATCAAAGCTAAAGCTGGCCCAGAATAAAAAAAAACGAAAAAAAGGAGCGGTTGGGAGCTTCCATCACCCTCAGCCCCTCACCCAGACTGGCCAGGCACCCCAGTGGGGACCCCTACCCTGAAGGGTGTGTGACCAGCTGCAAACAGCCATCATCCCCTCACCCAGGCTGGCCAAGCACCCCAGTGGGGACCCCCACCCTGATCCAGGACACCCTTCAGGGCAAACCAGCCAGCCCCACCCATGCACCAGGCCTCTATCCTATATAGTAAAAGGGTAATATGCCTCCCAGCACCGGGATCAGCAGAGCTGAGAGGCCTCCCGGCACCAGGATCAGTGTGACACAGGGCAGCGCCCAAACCCCCTGATCGCCCTGCAGCTCTGTGTGTGACAGGGGGTGGGGCCACAACCTCCCCATCGACGCTGCCTTGAGTGTGACAGGGAACCCCCCAATCGGCCCTACCCTGAGCGTGACTGAGGGTGGCATCACAATCTACTGATCCGCCCTACTCTGTGCATGACATGGGGCGGCGCCCCAACTCCCCAATCGGCCCTGCTCTGAGCCCGACCAGGGGCTGCACCTAGGGATTGGGCCTGCCCTCTGCCACCCAGGAGCAGGCCTAAGCCAGCAGGTCGTTATCTCCCGAGGGGTCCCAAACTGCGAGAGAGCACAGGCCGGGCTGAGGGACACCCGCCCCCTCCGGAGTGCACAAATTTTTGTGCACCAGGCCTCTAGTAAGACTATAACAAACAAACATTAGAAAAATGGTTTCTAGTGGGGCCAGGAGAAATAGGGAGTGATTGATAAAAGGGTACAAACTTTCAGTTATAAGTTGAATAAGGTCTGAGGTGACTATTTGATAACACTGTATTGTAAAATTGAGACTTGCTAAGAGAGTAGAACTTAAATGTTTTCACCCCTCCCCCAAAAAAGTAAATATGTGAGGTGAAGGATATTTTACTAGTAATTAATTCAATGGGGAGAATCCTTTCACAGTGTATACATATATCAAATTATCATATTATACGCTTTTAATATTTTATAATTTTATTTGTCAATTATATCTCAGTTAAGCTGGAAACAAACAAAATAAAAGGCTTTTCCACCAGCTCCATGGAAGACAATGGAGAAATGCTTTCAGAATTCTGAATTTTCAACCTCAAATTCCATTCTCAGTCACTATTAATCAAGTGTTAAGGGTAAAGTAAAAATGTTTTCATGTATCCAGGGTCTCAAGTTTACCTCTCCTGAGCCGATTTAAGTTCTGTCATATTTAGAGAATGCACACTCCTTTGGGGAGCTAGACAGGGCTTCACTAGGAATATTTAACTAGGGAAGGGGGTAGATGGAGACACATTTCTCCTGTGTTTGACTAAATTGAGAGGAAATTTTCAGTTCTCTTGGAGAATTCAATAATGAAATAGTAATAGGCACATAGAAAACTAGATGGAAATTAAGGCAGTTATTAAAAGAAGGAAAACTAAAAGTCGTTTATGAAAGTATAAAAAATTATACTTGGCTCTGATATTATGTAAACCCTGAAAAATAACTGCAAGAAAAAGTAATATAGCTAAATTGAGAAGATGGGTGGAAGGGAAATCTGTGTCCAAGAGTAGTGGTATAAAAGAGTGGATTCTTCATTTTTCGTAATAGGAAGTCCATAAATCATTTAGAAAAGGAAAAAAATCAGGAAAGGGCAGTACACGTGTTATTTAGCAATGTGAAAATAAACACTAGAAGAAATATCTTAGTGAGTTGAAAGTAAGGAAGCAGGCCGCTACTATTTTTTATTATTTCTTGTAATTCTATTTTAGTTTTAAAACGGGTACATGTATTCTTTGATTTTAAAATGTTTAAGATGTAAAAGAGAGGAAAGTGCTGAGAGCGTACTTGTCTTATAGCAAAGAACACAGGCAACTTCCAGCCCCACCCAACCCCTCTTTTTTTATTTATTTATTATTTTTTATTATTTTTGTTGTTAATCCTCACCCAAGGATATTTTTCCTTTTTTTTTTTTTTTTAAGAGAGAGTGGAAGTGAGAGGGAGAGAAAGAGAGAGAAACATGGATGTGAGAGAAACACATCAATTGGCTGCCTCATGTATGTGCCCCAACCAGGGCTGGGGCTCAAGCCTGCAATCCTACAGTCAGTGGGCCAAAGCTCTATCCACTGGAGCAAACTGGCCAGGGCGCATTTCTCTTTTTTTTCCATTCTCCTCTCTCCTGCCCTCCCAGCTGCACAGGAATCCCAGGCATCTGTCCTGTGCAAAATAGCTCTGACCTCTCCCAGTTTCTGGTATAAGTATGTCCAAAATATTGCATGGAGGGAAATGGCATGCCCTTTCAGTGTGTCATAGACAGTAGAATAAATTCAAAGAAATGTTAATTTGAAAAAAGTAAAAGGTGGAGGACTATATACTGAACAGCAGAGATCTTGCTAACTTTAAGGGAATGCAAGGGGGCGGGGAGAACAGTAAGCAAATGAGTATGTGGGGATGAAGTGGGGTTCATAAATTGGCAAATGAGAGTTGTATAGAATACCAAGAAGGAGAGCTTCACAAAGGAGCAGTGCACAGAAGCTGCAGAGAAGCCATGTCAATTGGGAAGTTGTTAGTTGGGTTTTGGTAGTTAGGAAGTTGTTCTGACCTTTGAGGGAGAGATTACTGTAGAGCAGTGGTTCCCAACCGGGGACAGTTCTCCCCTGGTCCCCATGGGACATTTGGTAATTATCTGGAGACATTTGGGGTTGTCAAAACTGGGGTAGTGCTACTGGCGTCTGGTAAGTAGAGTCCAGGGATCCAAAATGCACAGATAGCTCCCAGTGACAAAAGAATTATCTTAACCAACATGTCAGTAGTGCTAAGATTGAGAAATTCTGCTATAGATTAAGGAACGGTGAGGAAAAGAACCTATTAGTTGCAAGAAATATAGGAGCCTGATCTAATTTGAAGGTATTTATTGTGTCCTATATTCCTGAGAAATCAAAGAAGGGGATAAAGTATAGCAGCTAGTTTGAAAGGGAAGCGGAGTTGAAAGAATAATTGAAATGCTTAGCATAGTGTATGGCACAGATTAAGTATTTAATAAATACTGCTTTCATTATGAAGAACATGTTTATTAAGAATTCAGTAGGTTCGTTAACAGATTTTCATTAGTTACTACAGGAGAAACAAACATGAAATATACATATGCTTATATGCTTATTAGTTTACAAATTCTATAAGTAGGATATCTATTTTACTCACTTCTATATTCTACAAAAAACTAATCTTGCCATAATCAACCCTAAATACACATTTTTGCTTAGTGAAGAAAGCATATTTATGAATTAGCCATTCTTCACAAAAACAACATATAACATTTAACTCATTAAATTATAGTTAATTATTTCCCTTTTTTTCCCCCCTTCCTGCTAGACCATAAGCAACACAAGAGTAGAGCAAGTTAGTTTAGCCATCTCTGTATCATTTAGTTATCTAACACCATGCCTGGCACATAATAGGTGCCCAGTAAAGTGTTTGTTAAATATATGAATGAAATCACAATCAGTGTCAGTAGTATATTTTTTGAATACTAGCTGTTGGCATCCCAGAGGAGGGGGAATATAATATGAAAATATTTATCAGATAGTCTCCTGTTTAATGTGAGTCTTCTGTTTAACATATCTTCATATTTAGAACTTTAGACATTTTTGCAAAAAAGAATAGCTCAGCTGAAACTTCTTTTAAAGTTCTGCCTTGTTTTATTTTTTTAATCTCTGCAGTGCTGAATTTTCCCAAGGTCAGTACTGGGACGGACTAGGCTCTCCTCCAGATTCTCCAGCTCCTGGGAGTGATGTGTATTGCAGCAGTGAGCCGAATGACCCTCAGTATGACCAGAGTCTCCTGGAGAACTTATTTTACACAGTACCTGTAAGTCATTGAATCTGAAGCTTTAGGAGTTATATAACAATTAAAAGTATTAATAGTATTAGTAGGGGCCAGCATCTTGCTACTTGCCAGATAGAAAGCTATCCATTTTATATACCATATTTAATTGTAATGACAACCTGAAAAGGAAAGTATTGTGCTCATTCTGCAGGTGCAGAAACAGGCCTATGAGATTAAGTATATTGTCTAAGTACACATAGTGTTAGAGCCAGGATTCAAATTCTAGTTTACCTGTGTCCAAAGCTACATTATATAGCTTCCTTAGAGCTCTTCTAAGGAAGAGCTAATGCAGGTGTACCTTCAGAACTACCCTTGACTGGTATCTTTTCAAAATATTCCAGACACACCTCTATTTACTGGTGACAAATACCTCTACTGTCCTAGAATTTTCCAAGTTCTTTCTTATATCAAGCCATGTTCTGTTCTTTGGCTTTTAGTATCTCCTAGGGTCTACACGTATTAAGTTCAGTCCCTGTTCCACAAGTAATCATTTATATTTGTGAACATTGCTGTCAAATTCCTGATTTTCCTTTTCTCCGGGTGAGAAAAGATAACTGAAATATAAGGTAGTTTATACCAGCTCACTGATAAGACAATGAATGCTATCAGGGTTCAGAGCAAACAAGGAGAACTTTTACATGAGATTGTCAGGAGAGTGCATTGTGAGGAGTTAGGACTTGGGAGAGAATTAACAGTAATATTCTAATGAAGCAAGGACTTGGGAGAGAATTAACAGTAATATTCTAATGAAGCAAGCAGGTTTGTTGGAGGGGAGGGAGAGAAGGAAGAAAACTAGACAAAGGGGAGAAAAGATGATGTATTTCTGAGGTTCTTAGGTCAATGCTCAACAACTGAGCCATTGAAAGATGGTATTTAGAGAGAAAAAGGATATGGAATGGGAATAGAAAGAATGAGCAGTTTGTGCACTGCGAGGTATCTAAATTGACTAGATGAAAATTTCTGTGGGAGAGAAGTAGTCCATAAGGCAGGCTAGCACATTGCAACCAGTCTGTGAAAGCCTGTCAGTGTCAGATGATGCGGAAATGACATGATCATGATCGTGTTTTAGGAATGTTAATCTGGCAATGATGTAGGGGGCCAGCAGGGAAGAATGACCAGAAGCAGACAGGAAGCCACTGGGCTACTAGAGGTGTGAGAGAGAGGGGGAGCCTGAATAACAGTGGCAGCATTTGGAAAGGAGGAGATGGATTTAAAAGACATTATGAGCCCAGCCAGCGTAGCTCAATGGTTAAGTGTCAAAATATGAACCTGGGTGTCACAGTTCAATTCCTGGTCACGTCATATGCCCTGGTTGCGGGCTCGATCCCCAGTGTGGGGCATGCAGGAGGCAGCTGATCAGTGATTCTCTCTCATCATCATTGATGTCTCTATCTCTCTCTCCCTCTCCCTTCCTCTCTGAATTCAATAAAAATATTAATAAATAACATTATGAATAGTTAGGATTTCATGACTTCCTGCCTTCAAAATCATCACTGCCCAGCTGGAATGGCTCAGTTGTTGAGCATTGACCTAAGAACCTCAGAAATACATCATCTTTTCTCCCCTTTGTCTAGTTTTCTTCCTTCTCTCCCTCCCCTCCAACAAACCTGCTTGCTTCATTAGAATATTACTGTTAATTCTCTCCCAAGTCCTTGCTTTTGTAAAAATGTTCTGTTGTTTCTATAACAGGAGGAGCTGGGGGAGCGGGTTGTTTCCTGTCTTTGGGACCCAACTAGTAGATGAACTTGGCTCAAACAACCCTGGAGGCACTTTGCTCTGTGGGATGAACAAGAGTGACTGAATTTTGCTGATAACCTTATAGAACTCATTGTGGCACGCTTCCTTCTGGCTAGGCCCTGGGATGGACTACGTTCATGATACTACAGATTTGGGACAGGCATGCACACATGATGGGATAAGGCCAGTCTTACACATAGAGGTGAGGTGGAGAGTGGTCAACAGGAAGGCACCTCACGGAGGTGAGAACTAAGAGGACTCATGATTATGCCAGGGACTAGAAAAAATCTCTCAAAGATTGGCTACTCTCCCCAACCTCTTCCCTCACTCCATTTCCACCCCTACCTCTGAATTTCTGGGCACAGTAACTCAGAGATGGATGGCCAAAGTGTTCAAACCTGGGTGAAGGTGTTTGACTATTGCTGCTCTTCCCCAGGACCATACACCCCTCTGGTGCTAGAACCCTTCAGTGGGGTTGTGCCCTGTTCTGGAGGCTGGGATGATAGGCCAAGGATGTAAAGTTTATTCCCCATGTTAAATTTTTTTCCTTCATGTCTAACCATCTCTGAGGTTTTATTCCTAGTAAAAGGGACTATCTCTACCTAGGTCAACCCTGGTCAATTAAAAAAGATGGAGGTCTCAAGTATGGACACCTCCTCTCCCCCTGGAGGTGTGTGCCTACCATACTTTCTTCCCCTGCCCCTTTCAAACGTTTTTCCAGTTAGGTTTGTTATTCTGTTCTCTTCTTTCTAATTTTATGCTGCTACTGTGTTACCCAGGGGACAGATGGCCTTCTTTGTCATCTTCACTCTTCACCCCAGAGAGGAATCAGCCATAATTCAATCATCCAATCCCACCCAAAGATAGTTGAGTTGGTGCATGATATTTTCAGAATGTAGAGGACCCTGATGAGCCCACATGTGTCCTCCTTTAATGCCTTTGGGGCAAAGGCAGCCTTTCTTACTATCATCCATATCCCTTGAGGCTTCTACATTTTTAAAAAATAAATATGGACACCAGCAACTGTCCTGTGGGGATGCAAAGATTCTTTTCTCTCTACCTGGCTGGACTGATCTGTCTCACAAGAAGTCATGAAATTATTGAATCCAAAAAAAGAAAAAAAGCTTTGTGATAACACCTTGAAAAGGTTGGATTGCTTCCTAGAAGGATATTCTGCTCAAGCTTAGTTAACTGTTAACTTGTTACTCATATTACACAGTCAACAACACACTATACACCCTGAAAAAGGGAATTGGAGGTGATAAACTTAAAATGACTTTGGATCGGCCTCCTGTATTTATATTTGCAAGCTTTGTGTGTGTGTTTTACTGTATAACTGTACTCAAATAGCTATAATGCTGTCTTCTCTATTTTGTATTTTGTGGTAGAAAGGGCTAATCAGTCAATTGTGGTAGCTGCCTTTTCTCAAAATAAAAATTAATTACTAGGGACTTGGCCACTGTTCCCCCATTAAGGAAATTTGTGACATATAATAAACAGTTCATCTTAGAAAAATTAAAAGTAGAATGGGTCATTAGTAGTATGGAGAGGTGGAAAAAGCAATCTGTGCTTCCATATAGTGAGATGGCATTTATCAGTGACTTTGCCTCATATTATGGTAGAAATACAGGCTTTGGAACCCACGGAGATCAAACCTGCCTATACTACTTACTGCTGTGAATCATAAACAAGCTACCTTCTCTCAGCTTTCATTTTCTCAATTATAAAATTTAGGTGAGGTCACCTTACAGGAATGTGGTATTAGAAATACACATGAAGCATTCAGCATAGTACCAGATACATAGCAGGTAGTCAATAAATAGTGGCTATTATTATTGTTAATTTGAAAGAAGAATCTATTGTGTTTGAACTGAACTTGTAGGTTATTTTTGTTATTATTGTTCAAAACCTTGAACAACACAGTTTTGAACTGCACAGGGCCACTTATACACAGATTTTTTTCAAGTAATATTCAGCCCTATGTATCTGCAGATTTTGCATCCATGGATCAACCACCATGAACTGAAAACAGTATTTTTGCATTCCCAACCATGGTTTCCCAACTGTGATTCATGAAAATACTGTTTTCAATTCACAGTTGGTTGAACTCGTGATGCAAAGGGCCAACTGTAGTTAGGGTTTGGGGGAGTCAAAAAGTTATAGATAGGTTATCAAATACACAGGGGGATCAGTGCCCTTAACTTCCACATGTTCAGGGGTCAATTGTATTTTTATATAACCAGGAGAAACATGGGATTATCTGATACCCGGGTGTTAGTTATCGCTTTAAGAATGACATGTACAGAGAACTTGATTACTTGTAGAGAAATGTTTTTGTTACCACTACCCCCAAAGCACTTATCTTTTAGTGCCTTTTCGTTTCTTCCCCCCACCCATAGAAATCTGATAGCAGCATAAGTGATTTCTTCAGTGAAGATGATGATATTGTCCCTTCTGAAAAAATGAGCCAATCGAAAGCTCTTGCCAGATCTTCTAAGGTTCTGGAGTCAAATGATCACAAGATGAAGAAGAGAGCAGCAGGCAAGAAAAATAGGTGAGCCTCTTTATGAACGTTTGTTTAGAGGCAAAAGCAAAGGAAGATTATTTTTACAAGATCTAAAGTGAAATGACCTGTGCTTATCCAACAGTATCAGGCTGATTAAGTTAGTTACTGTAACTCATTAAATACTGTAGTCCTTAAAAATATAACAACATGAAAAGATGGATATGACGAAATGGTTCAGGAAGAAAGCAGAATTCTAGGTTGTATATGTGCTGTATTATATTTGTGTAAAAATATACATAAGGAAAGCAAATGAAAAGGAATACAAAAAAGTAATGATAGTAGTTATATTAAAATAGTGGGTAACTGAAGTTTGTATCCCATGTAGAAAAACTAGTTCTTTGACATCAGTTTCTATACATGTATGGAGATAAGCCTATAGATTAGAAAAATGTTTTTACAGTTTTTGAGATTTCTTTCACTGTGAATTAGGACCAGAATTTTGATAAAATCCATTTCCCAATACTTGATAACTTGTGAGTTAAGATGCTTGCTGCCCTTCCTTCTTTCTCCTCTTGCCAGTGCAAACTAGATCATTTCATATCGGGCCTCTGACTGTTTGCCTCACTGTCTGTATGAATTCCTTTCAGAAATTTGGTTGAACAACAAATGAAATCAGTAACTCCAGAAGATGCCCAAGTGATGACATTAAGTGTAGACAGGCTGGCCCTTCTGGGTAGAACACACTCAGTCAGAATCATCATTGAAACAATGGAAGTTCCTCCAGATAGTCCACAGATGACCTCTGGCAAAAAAAGCTTTCCTGGGAGACCACCTAAGCTGACAACAAAAAAGCGGTATGTCTCTAACATGGGAAAGCTAAATTTGACAGTGGGAAGTGTCCGATAAAAATATCTATAATAATAAAACTGTAATATGCTAATTAGACTGGACACCCTTCCAGATGACCTTCCGGACAAAGCAGAGGCTACAAGGGCCGAGGCGGCCACTGTGGCGGGCGGGGGCGCCCAAGCTCCTTGCACAAATTTTGTGCATTGGGCCTCTAGTAATAAATAATTGTACCAGTATAATACTTTATGGTTTGTAAAATACTTTCATAGGTACCATTCAAGCAACAAAAATGTATTGAATTCCCCCACTAAATCCCAAGCACTATGCTAGGTATGTGTAAGAATAAAGAAAGTTAAGACTCAAACTCTGTTTTTACATACTTTACCGTCAGCAGGAGAGAGATATTTTTAAATGGCTATCTGTAATATAGGGCTAAGTTTTATATTAGAAGTGCTGTGGGAGCAGAAGGAAGGGAGCCTTTAGTTTTGCCTGGCAGGATTGGTGTAGGCTGTGAAGAGAGGAGATCCTGAAAATAGAACCCTGAAAGATATGTAGAATTTATCAGACAAAAAAATAAGTTTATTATTTGGTTTGTTTTTAATCACTTTTTTTTAGCACCTTCATTGTGGAATATCACTTTCCTGTGGGCTTTTCCAAAAGTGGATTGGGAAAGACAACTTTGATAACTGAGGTTGTTCGACTCGCCTCCAGCAAAACTGAAGATGGAAGTAAGAGAAAGACTGGTTTTCTGCTTCTTAAACATTTTTGCTTTGGAAGAATTTTGAATCGCTAATTACTGATCTGACTCTTACAGTATCATCGAATTTTAGATTTGAAAGGGAGGTGGGTGGTGTCAAAGCATGGATTGATGATGGCTCTATTTGGGTGACAGGTACTTATGTGTCTGATTCTCCTTGCAGTGGTAAAATTCCAGCAGAGATTTGTGTTTCCAGTACAGTTTGGTGGTCCAATGATAGAACATTGGTGGAATTCCAATCTTATTTTCAAAATTTACACAAAGAAAATACAGAAAAAGGTACTTCACATGATTTTGACATTTACACCAGGGATTTGAAACATACTTAAAACTATATGTCTCCATAACATAGGAATTTCTGTAGGGTCAAACAACACTAATGCTTTTGATTATTGTCATTATTTTTAAATTTCTGTTTGCTGTTTGTTATAGAGCAGATATTATTGTCTATTTGCTGTTATAGAATGGATGTGCTAAAAGCTCTACATCAGCGGTTCTCAACCTGTGGGCCGAGACCCCTTTGGCGGTCGAATGACCCTTCACAGGGGTCACCTAAGACCATCCTGCACATCAGATATTTACATTACAATTCATAACAGTAGCGACATTACAGTTATAAAGTAGCAACGAAAATAATTTTATGGTTGGGTCACAACATGAGGAATTGTATTTAAAGGGCCAGAAGGTTGAGAACCACTGCTCTACATGAATATACTGTCAAATTTAATCATTACAGGCCGGCACTCTATCCACTGAGCAAAACCAGCTAGGGTGAGAAACACTTTTAAAAAGCAAAAATCAGCCGAAACCGGTTTGGCTCAGTGGATAGAGCGTCGGCCTGCGGACTTTTTAAAATGTAACATTGTCTTCAGAGTTTTTATGTTTTTATTTTTTTTTTCAAAAATATGTTTAGCCCTAGCTGGTATGGCTCAATGGATAGAATGTCAGACTGCAGACCAGAAGGTCCTGGGTTCAGTTCCGGGCAAGGGCACGTACCTCAATTGCAGGCTCCTTCCTGGCCTGGGCCCTGGTCAGGCCGTGAGCAGGAGGCAATCAATCAATGCATTTCTCTCACATCGATATTTCTGTCTTCCCCTCTCTCTTCCCCTCTCTCTAAAAATCAGTGGGAAAATATCCTCGGGTGAGGATTAAAAATATAAAATAAAATAGTGAAATGATATATTAAAAAAGAAAAAAGGAAAATTAAGTTTAAATCAATAAACTAATAAAAATATCTATGTTTAATATTTTCTGCAAAATTTTATAAATATTTCAATTCCCTATTTTTATCAAATATTATAACAAATATTGTTTATATTCAGACTTTTAGTAAACATCATTTTAATGGCTGTTATTTCATTGTAGGAATGTACAGTAATTAGCTTAATTATAATAATTTGATTATTGAACATCTAGTTATTTCTCTTTGTTAAATATACATATTTGTATGTAAGGTTTTTATGTATTTACTAGAGGCCCAGTGCACGAAATCGTGCATTGAGGGGGGAGAGGTGGTACCTTCAGTCTGGCCTGTGCCCTCTCGCAGTCTAGGAGCCCTCGGGGAATGTCCAACTGATGGCGTAGGCCCACTCCCCTGGACATCCCTAGTGCTGCCTTGGAGGTGGGAGAGGCTCCAGCCATTGCCACTGTGCTTGCCAGCTGTGTGCCTGGCTCAGGGCTTCTTGCTGAGTTGCACTCCCCCACCGACCACCAGGGGGCAGCTCCTACATTGAGCATCTGCCCCCTGGTGGTCAGTGCGCATCATAGTGACTGGTCATTCTGCCGTTTGGTCGATTTGCATATTAGCCTTTTATTATATATAGGATTATTTATTTAGTATAAATTTCCAGAAGTGAAATTACTGGGTCAAAGAGTATGAATATTTAAAGCTTTTTATATTTATTGCCAAATTTACTGTTCAAAAGTGTGTTGCCAGTTTATATTCCCAACTTTAGGCATATGACAGCCTGTTTCTCTATAACCTTGATAGCCTCAGCAATAGGGTTTTGTTATTTTCTTAGCTTTAATGGCAAAAAATTATATCATCTTTCATTTCATATATTTAAGAGTGAAGTTGGACAATTTTCATAAAGAATTGACTCTTAAAAATAGAAAGAGAAAATCTTGTGACTTCGTTGTGACTCATGAAACCCTCTGTAATCTCTCAGGGAGAAGTAGTGAAGCCCAGAAGGGGGACCAAAATATGGCAGAATATGGATTTCTACTTAGAGTTGCCTCAGTCAAATATTAAGCTATTTACTTCATAAAGTTTGCGTGCCTATATAAGATATCATATGTTGTCATTTCAATTAAAGTTTCCTGTGGCTCCTCTTTAACTTAAACTTTTTCTTTCCTTCTTCTCTCAGCCAGAAGTCATTGGATCTGCATCATTGCCTTTGAGAGCTGTCATTCAGTCTGAATTGCTTTCTTTCAGTGACCAGCTTCCAGTACAACAAGAAAATGGTCAAGTTCCACTTGGCCCCCTCAAGGTACATAGATATCATTCAGGCAGTCCAGTATTTATGAAGCACATATTACTGGCTGGCCCTGAGAATGTAACAGTGAAGAAGAAAGTCAGGGTCCCTACTCTTGCAGTTTATATTAAACTAGAGGCCCAGTGCACGATTTGTGCCCATTGAAAGGAAATTAATTAGAAGAAATATTTTAGAGGCCGGGGAGGGACCGCAGGAGGTTGGCTCCAGGATGTATCCGGCCCATCTTGCCCACTCCCGATCAGCCAGACCCCAGCAGCAAGCTAACCTACCAGTCAAAGCGTCTTCCCCCTGGTGATCATTACGCATGATAGCAACTTGTCAAACAGTTGAATGAAGTTGGACACTTAGCATATTAGGCTTTTATATATATAGATAAGGCAACAGAAGTGCCTTGAAGGAAATAAATGTTTTGGTGTGATATTGAGTGCTGGGAGGAAATAGGAGATGGTGGTCAGGGAAGGTCCCTTTACAGAGGTGACATTTAAGGTGAGATTTGATGAATGAGAGGAAGAGGCTACAAAGTAAAAAGCACAGGATAGATCATTTTGGACAAGGAATAACACATCCAAATGCCCTAACATGGGAATGGGCTTGGTGTTGTCAAGGGACAGAATGTGAGTACAGAATAGTGAGCCAAAAAGGCAAGTGGTAGAAAATAATTGGATGGGCAGGCAGGAGCTATAACATTCAGAGCTTTGTAGGTCAAAGTAAAGGATTTAATTTTTATCCTAGAGGCAAGAAAGAACATTGAAGTATGGGAATGACATCTCATTTACATTTTAGAAGATTACTGTGTGGAAAATAGACTGTAGGGGGCAAGAGGGAAAATGGGAAAGTTGTTGGATTATTTCATAAAAGAGATTGTTCATGGGTTGGAGTAGAATAGTGACCATGGACAAGGAGAGAAGTGACTGAGTTTGTGCCGGTGAATGAGTTCTGATCTGTAATTCATTGGAGAAAGTGTTCGTTCCCCGTATTCAGAAGCATCAGAATTTCTTAGGTGGTAGAATTTGAATGAAGGGCTTGTCCTGGTGAGCTTTTAAAGTCATCAGAGCCAAACCTAAAACATTTCCAGGGCCGCCTCATATACCCAAAGGATAAAATACAGGGCACACCAATGACCCTAGCCTACCACTGTAGCCTTCTCTCTTGCAGTGGTCCTACCAATAGCTATGTCAAACTATGTAAAGACTTGTTAAGGTATCATGCTGGTTTATGCCTCAGTGCTTTTATTCTTGGTTTTCATGCTGCTTCCTCTTCTTGGAAGCCCTTTTCCTGGTATTATTAATAATGCCATTTAGTTGTAAAGACTTATGTGATTATCATTGCAAAAATTAACATCACATTACTTTTCTGCAATCAAAGTTTTTATTTTTTGTTTGCCTAATTCATTCTGGCCTGAATGGTTTAAAATTAGAAAAGTAAAAATAGAATTGAGGGTCTAGAAATTGTTTCTATTCTGTCTCTTGAGAGAAGTTCTGTTCTAGATAGATTGCTGTCTAGATTCAGTTGAAGTTTGCTGTGGAGTTTAAATAAAAGAAACAGCAAGTTCCCTTTTTCTTTAGTAATTCAGTCTCATAATAGTGACCATTTTTCATCATTTTTCTTACATCCTCTATTATTTCATACTAGATGTCCGGTGCACAAAATTCGTGCACGGGTATGATCCCTAGGCCTGGCCAGTGATCAGAGCCGATCTGTGGGGTGACTGGTGGGGCAATCATGGGGGCCTCCGCTAACACCTGCCTTGGATGGCCTGGCGCTGCCCGCTGGCCAACCCCACCCCCCACTGCCGCCACCAGTCACCTCCCTCTGTGGGGCAACGCAGGGTAATTGGGGGGCCCCCACTAGCACCTGCCTTGGCTGGCCTTGGGCCTGCGGGCTGGGGGCAGCTCCTGCATTGTGCCTTCCCCCTGTTGGTCAGTGCGCATCCTCCAGGCCAGAGGCGCTGGGCAGTAGGATTTTAACTTTTTAAAAATAACTTCAAACTTTCAAAATTGAAGAGAAAATTGCAAAAATAGTATAAAGAACTTGCATACCCTTTTCCTAGACTCAGCAATTATTTATATTTGCCACATTTGCTTTATCATGTCTGTCTACCTCTTCTTTTTGTATCTTTCTTTTTTTCACTTTCTCCTTTTTGTCTCCCTTCCCACTACATACACATGCACAATTTTTTTCTGAACTATTTGAGATTCTGTTACAGACATAGTGTCTCTTTTCCCCTAAATTCTGGTGTATATTTCCTGAGAACAAACACATTATCATACATAACACTGAACAGTTATAAAAATCAATTTAAATCTGATACTGTATTCTATCTATAGTCCATATTCAAACACTTCCTGTTGTAGCGGGGCGGGGGGGGGGGGGGGTGCTCCAGTCCATGATCATCCATTGCATTTATTTGTCATATCTCTCTAATCTTCCTTAGTCTAGAGCAGTTCAGCAGCCCTGCTTTGTCTTTTAGGACTTAGATATTTTTGAAAAGTAAGGCCAGTTATTTTGTAGAATGTCCTCTACTGGGTTTTACATGAATCACTTATTACTATAATGATTGAGAGATGATTTTCTAATTCCACCTTAACTCCACCATTCCTTGTACATTTATTTTATTTTTTAATCTTTTTTTTTTTTTTAACCCTCACTTGAGGATATTTTTCTGTAGATTTTTAGAGAGTAAAAAAGTGAGGAAAAAACAGAAATATTGGTGTGAGAGAACCACATGGATTGGTTGCCTCCTGCATGAGCCCTGACCAGGGCCTGGGCCAGAGAAGAGCCAGCAGCTAAGATACGTGCCCTTGACCAGAATCGAATCTGGGACCCTTCGGTCCATAGGCCGACACTCTATCCACTAAGCCAAACTGGCTGGGGAACCTTGTACATTTATTAATTGGCATTCTACTATATGGAAGAATTGGCCTTTCTCCCATATTTATTTATATTGATATGGACTCATGGGTTTTTACATTATTTAATTGGTTGTAACCCATTACTATTACTCATTTCGATGCTTAAATAGTCCCAGTCTTGACCAGTGGGAGCCCCTTCAACTGGAATCTGTATCCTTTCAATATGTCTCTCTCCTTATTTTCTGGCACAAGTTGATGTTCCATGTTCATCTTATATTACTGATAAATCATCTCCCTAGCTTTTCTTAATCCTGGTAAGGTAATGTATATGGAGTCTACTAATGTTCTTAACTATTATGGCATTTGTGGATGAATTAATTTATCTCCTAACAATCCAGTGCTGCATCTAGCTTCAAAATTCTGATTCTGATTCTAGAAGAGATTCTTACTAACTCCCTTTCTTTTGTGTTCTATAGGTAACTGTGGAGCTTGTTATAGATAATAAGGATTTCAATGGTGTCGAGACTAAGTTAAATAGTAGCACCCCACATACCCTCCTCTCTACTCTTATAAGCCCAGATAAGAAACTGTCAGAACCTAGCCATCATGTTACCTGCACCAAAAATTCACAGAACCTAAATCAAGTTCATGAAGAAACTGCAAAGGAAGAACAGAATTTGGTGCTCTCCAACCCAAAGTCACCAAGCCCTGTTGCACCAAATCCTTCAACCTTCATGGCTATGCCAGCCTCTCACAATTTGGTAAAGCAGACAAATGGGTCAACCAAAGAGAGTGCTTTGCTGTTGCATGTGCTTTTGATGGTGCCAGATGGGAAAGATTTCATTACTGAAGAATCTGAGAAACCACCACCATGCAATGTTTATTTAAATTGCAAACTCTTCAGCACAGAGGAAGTCACCAGATCTGTCATCGCATGGGGCACAACACAGCCAGTCTTTAACTTTTCTCAGGTAACTTTGTACATATCATAACATTTCATATCTATTAGGGATGTATGGAGGTGGGAGACAAGTATGTTTCCCTAATCGTAATGTCATTGTAAAAGAAATCTAGAATGTTCAGCCTGGGAGGAACCTTCGTAATTTTCTGGTATGTAAATCCAGTCCCACTATTGGGTGGGAAGAGGAAAAGATATTGCCAGCATTTTCAAACTTTTTGTATGTTTATTTCTTTCTGTTCTGTCTCAATTCCCCACGATTTCTTTTGCCTGAATTCTGAATTCTATTCCTTGCTTCTTCCTCCGCAGGGGTCCTCAAACTATGGCCCACGGGCCACATGTGGCACGCCGAAAACATTTATCCGGCCCGCCGGGTGTTTTTGCCGCCGCTGCCTGTTGCTTAGCAGCCAACTCGTGTTCTTTTTAAACTATAGCCCGGCCCTCCAAAGGTCTGAGGGACAGTGAACTGGCCCCCTGTTTAAAAAGTTTGAGGACCCCTGCTCCAGGGCTTTGATCAGTTAAATTTCCTCTTTTCCTTTCTGTTCCTCCAAGCTCCCCTTTATTTTTTTATTTACTTAATTTTTTTTCTCACTGATTTATTCCTTCACTTACTTCAGTACTCATTTTGCTTGGTTTCTCTGTAGAATTTCATGCTATTGCTTAGTTTTCTCAATCTTTGGAACTCTAATCTCTTATATTTTTTCTTAACTGTCCTGTTTTAGTTATTGGGTCAGAGGGCAAGAGTGGTGACACCAGCACTTCTCTCTTTTACCTTTAATTATCTCGTATTCATTATCCTTGGAATTCTTCCAAACCAACATTTTTCTTTCTTTCTTTTTAATGTTTTTATTCATTTTGGAGAGAGGAAGGGAGAGAGATAGAAACATCAGTGAGAGAAAATCATCTATCAGCTCCTTCCTGCGTGTCCTCTACTGGGGATCGAGCCCACAACCTGGGCATGTGCCCTGACCAGGCATTGAACCATGACTCCTGGTTCATAGGTTGACACTCAACCAGTGTGCCACACCGGCTGGGCCAAACCAACCTTTTCCCCACGGTCACCACATCTGCTCTCATAGCTTCAGCTCTCATATGTGAAAATGACTTCCTACACTTCTTTGTAGGACAGACAATCTCCTGTAGTTTCACATCTCTATATCCTGTTATCTGCTGTTTGTCACCACCTGGATGTCTCAAAAGCACTTTATACTTGGTATCCACCACATCACCTTTCATATCACAGATATTCAATAAAGATGTGTACATGGAAAGAAGAAATTCAAATGTGTCCAAATCTAAATTTATTTTCCTTTCAATTCTGTTTCTCCTCCTCCTGTCTGCCCTAATTCATGTTATAATTTACTGAGAAACCCAAGTAGAACCTAAAAGTTTACTCTTTCTTATATAATTATTCACCAAGTTCCATAGATACTGCAAACTTAATTATCTCTGGATATATCCTCTTATCTCCATTTCATTGCCATTGCTTTCATGCTGGCTCTCGCTCTCTTTCTAAGTAGCCTTCACATTGGCTACCTGTTTCTGTTCACTCCCTGTCCATTCCTTCCTGTGCACCTCTAAAACACTGACCTGAGTATTTTACTCCTCTGCTCAAACCTTTCAATGTTTCTTCATAGCCTTTAGGATAGAGTCCAAGTCCTTGTTTTGGACTATAAGACCCTCTAAGAACTGTCTGTACTCTCCAGTTTCCACTCTTCCCTTCACACTAGATAGCCTTGCTATGCTCAGCTACTTGTATTTCCTGAATATTCTCTTTTCCTACTTCTGTGTCTTTGTATGTATTTCTGCCTGGAATTTCCTCTCAACTTTCATGACTCCTATTAGGCAGAGCTTTTTGTACTAGTTAACTCCTGCTTATCGTTAAGATTTAAGTTAATTTTCTCCCAGAAGCTCTTTCTGGAATCTCCCTATTTGTAGGTTAGGTTGATGTGTTGTACCTTTTTTGGTTGCAAGGACAGAAATGTGCTCAGGGTACCTTATGTAATTGAAGTTTCTTAGATGAATACAAAAGTACATCTGCTCTTCTGATTTCACCCTTTTGCCTCTTGTGTTTTCTGTTAACTTCATCACTAGGTTTCTCTCTCTTCTGCTGTTAGTTATTCTAAGTTTGTTATTAATTTGACTGACCTGCTCTTTTCTCTGGAGCTCTGGTTCTTTTTTCGTTCAACTAACAGCTGACTGGCTAATTCTGGAATCCTTTGACACTGAAAATCCGGATGAACAGTTGGGCTTGCTGTTTACTATAGTACCTGTTGGGCAGAGCTTTATGCACTGGACCATGCCACCCAACCAGTGGATTGGGTGCCCTTTGATCAGGTGCTCAATGTTTGTCTAGTCCAGGGGTCCTCAAACTTTTTAAACGGGGCCAGTTCACTGTCCCTCAGACCGTTGGAGGGCCAGACTATAGTTTAAAAAAAAACTATGAACAAATTCAGCAAACAGGCAGCGGCTGCAAGAACACCCGGTGGGCCGGATAAATGTTTTCGGCGGGCCGCATGTGGCCTGAATGAGCTTTGCAGGCACCATGATCAACTTGTCTGACAACTTTCTCTGTCCTAGAAGCCCCTTCTGTATGAGCTTTATCATCAGAGAACTCATGCCATTTTGTATTTGGCCTTTATATATGTTAGCTTCTGACACCAGACTGTGGCTTCAAACTGAGGATGTAGGTTGGATTTTATTTTAATGTCTTCAGCTCTTAGCACTGTGCAAGGCACACAGTAGGCTTTCAGTAAATGTGTGTTGAATAAAAGTATAAATTAATTATTTTGTCTCAGGTGTGGGCTTTTGTTTCTTGTTGTTCCTCTCCCCCAGGTGATTCCTGTCTCTCTGTCTCCCAAATACTTGGAAAGGCTTAAGAACAATGTGATGGTAATCGAAACTTGGAACAAGGTGCGGAGCCCAGGACAGGACAAGCTGCTCGGGCTGGTGAAACTCCCCCTCCATCAGTTTTACATGTCATTCAAGTAAATAGGATCTTTTGGAGTATTCTTTATTTTACATCTTTAACTTTGTATGGACTGAAGAGGAATTCTTGTGGTTTGCAAACATGGCTAGCCCTATAATTCCTTGGAGGACTTTTTCAATTTCACCGTAGTTTTTGCTCTTTCTCCTGTGTTAAAGCAGTCTTACAGATACTGCTTACCATGTTTCAGGCCCTATTTTAAGAACCTTACTTACCCCATCAAGTCATTTAACCCTCACAACAATCCTCTGAGGCAGATAACTTTTATTTTCCCGATTTTACTGATGAGGTAACAGAGGCACAGAGAAGCTATATAACATGTCATAATATCCTAAGTAGTAGAACAGGTAGAACCCAGAGAGCCTGGCTCTAGAGTCCACCCTCCTCACCCAGCAGCTCAACTGCCAAAGGTTACCACAAAACTAATGGTTTATCCTGTCATAAACTTTAGTATTGTTCACATCAGCTATTTGCAAGATTTCTGTACCCAGTATTGTCTTAGATCTTCAGACTTGATTACTGCACCTCACTTGTCACTACCCAACATCTAGATGAAGTATTAATTTTACCTGAAGGCAATTTCTATCTGCAGTACAGACTCATTTTCTGTTTTGATTCAAGGTGCTGATTTTTTTCTTATTTTAACATTGACCTCTTTCCTAACAGCCTTCTCATGTATCTGTGTTTTAAATGCTGTTTCATATTTACAAAGAGCACTGTTGTGGGCGCTATCTCATATGAACCTTTCTATAACTGTAGGAGGTATTATCATTATCCCCATTTTACAAATGAGGAAACTTGTCCTTTAACTTGGAGAAGTCAATCTCTTTGACTTTCTTTTTATCATCTATAAAATGAGTTTAAGGGTAGATCATCTGTCTCCCTCCTGGAGCAATTGTAAGAATCTAGTGAGAAAATAAATAAGTAAGCCTTCTATGAACGCTTACGTACTTATGATGGCAACATTGGAAAGCATAGCCAGGCTAAGGAGTACTGCCGGAACCGTGGATACCACTGCCAACTCAAGGCTTTGGACTTTTGCTTCCTTTTTTAGTTGTGATATTAGTCTGGTTTGATATTCCCCTTCTCTGTTCATTAAACCCCATTCTTTGCTGAGAGAGCAAAACACTACTAGATACCAGTGACTGAGCACTTACCTAAATATGCCAGGCATCACAGTTTGTATTTTATATTTGTTATCTTAGCATACTCCTTATAACAGTCCTTTGATGGAAGGTTTATTACAGCCGTGGGCAAACTACAGCCCGCGGGCCGGATTTGGACCGTTTGAAATGAATAAAACTATTGAAAAAAAAGACCGTACCCTTTTATGTAATGATGTTTACTTTGAATTTATATTAGTTCACACAAACACTCCATCCATGCTTTTGTTCCGGCCCTCCGGTCCAGTTTAAGAACCCATTGTGGCCCTCGAGTCAAAAAGTTTGCCCACCCCTGGTTCATTACCTACATTTTGCAGATGAGGAAATAGACAGATTAAATTGGATTACTTAGTATCATACAGCAAGTAAGGGCAGAGCAAAGATTCAGCATGAAGAGCATGTGGACTTTTTATTGTCTGTTAATAGTGGATAATATTAACCCTTTGCAGTATTAGAAGGATTATAGAAACTGTAAAGTGCTTTTCATATAGTAAGCACTTAATAAGTGGTAATATTATTGTTAATATTATCCAAATTTTATCCACCAGACTCCAAAGTCCATACTTTTTCTAGTTGACCATACTGCCTACCTGTAAAATAATGCAATTCAAAAGGCCTCTACTGAGGACCATGATGATACTGAGATAAATCAGACACATTCTCTGTCTTCAATTTGCTACATTTGGAACTTACTGCCTGGTATTTTTTATTCTATAATCCTCACCCAAAGATATGTTTATTGATTTTTAGAAAGAGAGGAAGGGATAGAGAGAGAAATATCAGTGTAAGAGAAAAACATCAATTGGTCGCCTACCGTACACACCCTCACCTGGGATTGGGGAACAAACTCAAAACCTAAGTAGGTGCCCTGACCAGGAATTGAACCTGTAGCCTTTTGGTGTACGGGGCGACACTCCAACCAACTGAGACACCTGTCCAGGTCCTGCCTGGTAAATTTTATTTGATGGATTATGAATAGGATCATATGTTTTGTCAAGCCACTATTACTTTTCTAGTTGTAGATACATTTTTAACAAACTGAGAAAATGAGCCAAGTAAGAAATGAAGCAACTCAATGACATGATTGATAATTGTTATTTGCTCATGTACAATTTCTCTCCCTTTAGAGATCCCAAGATTTCTCGCCTGCTGCTTGATGCTCAGTTCCCAGTTGTTGCTGTCGACAGCTACATGCCTGTGATTGATGTGTTCTCAGGCCAGAAAAATGGGAGTCTTCGAGTCTTTTTAGCTATGGGTTCTTCAGATCAGATAATGGCACTACAAAGATTGAAGAATGAAGAAGGAACACTTCCTCCCTTCAGCCCGAGGCCAGCCCATTTACTGGACCAGCTATCTAAAGCATCCAATGCAATGGTAATGACTAAACACTTGATTGTATGTTTATGTTGTAAAATGATTATCAGAATCAAGCTAATTATCATATCCATCACTTCACCTAGTTACCTTTTTGTGTGTGTGGTAAGAATACTTAATGTACTCTCTTAGCAAATTTTTTAAGTACATAATCTCATTTTATCTTGCATGTTTTAGTGAAACCATTGCCCCAAATCCTTATTTCAGTAGTGAAAGGCTTAACAAAAGAACATACTTGTACTTCAGTGCTTATGATAGATCAAAGGAATCATTGTTATTTTTCTTTTATGGCTTAAATGCATATCTGTATCCCTCTGAGCTCCTTGAATTTATAAGGAAAATCTAATTGGACAACTAGATCTTAATCCTCTAATTTACTAACTTAATTGCCTTTTTAAAATATTGGGGTGAACCTTAGCTGCTCTAAAAAAAATGGTCTTAATTTTAAAAACTTTTAAAGATAATCCAAGAAAAAAACAGGGGTGCTGGGATGGAGAGTGATCCCAAATGTAAGCCAGCAAAATCTTATTCTGTTTTTCTTGACCAAATCCATGTTGGAAAGTTAGAGTGAAATGCCCTGCTTTTCTAATAAGTTAAAAGTAACTTATTTTGTATAGTGCTGTACAATTAAGAAAATACTTTATCATGATTTTTTTCCTAACAACTACATGAGGTTGGTCATTTTTTTAAATTGTTTTATTGCTTAAAGTATTACAAAGAGTATTATATATATATATTTTTTCTCCCCTTGACACTCCCCTAGCCTCCCATACCCCCCAGTGTCTTGTGTCCTTTGGTTATGCTCGTAGGCATGCATACAAGTCCTTTGGTTGATCTCTTACCGCCCCCCATCCTACCCCCCAACCCTTCTCAACCTTCCCGCTGTAGTTTGACAGGCTGTTTGATGTTGTGAGGTTGGTCATTTTCATTCTCTTTTATACTTGACTAGAAGCCTTGTGCACGAATTCGTGCACCAATGGGGTCCCTCAGTTTGGCCTACGGGATCAGGCTGAAAACGGCTCTCTGACATCCCCTGAGAGGTCCTGGATTGCGAGAGGGCACAGGCCAGGCCAAGGGACTCCACCAGTGCACAGTCGGGGCCAGGGAGAGACATGGGAGGTTGACCAGCTGGGGAGGGAACACGGGAGGGCTCTAGGGCATGTCTGGTCCATCTCGCTCAGTCCCAATCAGCTGGACCCCAGCAGTAAGCTAACCTACTGGTCTGAGTGTCTGCCCCCTGGTGGTCAGTGCACGTCATAGCGAGTGGTTGAGCGGCCTTAGCTTATCATTAGCATATTACGCTTTGATTGGTTGACTGGCCAACTGGCCAACCAGACACTTAGCATCCTATCTAATAATAGACAAACATGGTAATTAACCATACCTTCGCTACGCTTCCCATTGGCTAATCAGGGTGATATGCAGATTAACAGCCAACCACGATGGCGGCCGGTAGCCATGCAACTGAAGCGAGCAGGAGGCTTGCTTGCTCCAGTGATGGAGGAAGCCAAGGTTCCCCACCTGCCGCGGCCCGGCTCTGAGCTCCGAAAGCAACAAAGTTTCAATTATAGAAGGTAAATAAATCCCAGAATAAAAAAAAAGTAAAAGAGGAGAGGCTGGGAGCTTCAGTCGCCCGCCGCCTGAAAATGGCCCTCAGCCCCTCACCCAGGCTGGCCAGGCACCCAAGCAGGACCCCCACCCTGATCCGGGACACCCTTTAGGGCAAACCAGCCAGCCCCCACCCGTGCACCAGGCCTCTGTCCTATATAGTAAAAGGATAATATGCAAACTGACCCTAACAGCAGAAAGACTGGGAATGACTGGTCACTATGACACATACTGACCACCAGGGGGCAGACACTCAATGCAGGAGCTGCCCTCTGGTGGTCAGTGCGCTCCCACAGGGGGGATCTCTGCTCAGCCACAAGCCAGGCTAATGGCTGCCAGTACAGCGGTGGGGGTGGGAGCCTCTCCCGCCTCCTCAGCAGCGCTAAGGATGTCCGACTGCAGCTTAGGTCTGCGCCCCGCTGACAAGTGGATATCCCCCGAGGGCTGCCAGGCTGCCAGAGGGATGTCTGATTGCCATCTTAGGCCCAATCCTCTGGGGAGCAGGCCTAAGCCAGCAGGTGGTCATCCCCCAAGGGGTCCCAGACTGCGAGAAGGCACAGGCTGGGCTGAGGGACTTCCCCCTTACCCCCCAGTGCACAAAGGCCTCTAGTATTATATTGGATGAAATAGAAAATCAAAGAGGTTGTGACATTTGTCCAGGATCCCATAGCTAAGAATGGTAGAATTGGAGTTCAGATACAGGTCTTCTGACTTCTAAGTCCATAATATCATGTCCTATTATATCTTACATTTGGTGTCTCTTGGTGTCCAATATAACTAAATCTCAGTCTCCACACCATTTAAGTATGTTATATTTTTTAATCTGAATCTGAATGACATTTAAAGTTTCTAGCAAAGAAAGAACTATTATGAAAGTATCCATTAGTAGGTTATTATTTATTATGAACTCTAAACTTTTCTGTTTTTATTGAATATTAGTGCCTATCAATAGATAGTAGTGTTTTATTTTTATTTAAAAATGACATAAAAGCACAAATAAAAAAATCATCTATATTCCCAACTGTTATTGTAGTATAGGAAGTTAGAAAATGTTATTTACTACAAGCACAAAAATCCTTGATATGTTGGATATCAATAAAATACAGTTGTTTTTTCTCCTACATTCATAAGTGCCTCACCCAGTTCAACATCTGCAGAACTGAATTATTAAATTACTGAAAATCCTGTATGGCCAAATTGAGCAGGCACTATAATTTGGAGAGGGGTTTTTCCCCCCTATATTTTTCTTCTCTGGGAAATCAAATTGTAAGTTTTCTGTTTCCGTAAGAAGGTTTTTGAGCAGGTATTGCTGACATGCATTTTTAGACTTCAAAGACCTAATGCAACCTCTATTCCAAATGTACTGAATGTTAAACATGTATAAATCATACAGTCTGAACCTTATCTGAATCCTGTATTTCCCCTTTGAACATTTCTAATAATCAGTTATCTAGTGTCTGCTATACAGAATAGAGGTAAAGAACTTTGGCCCTGGAATTAGACTACCTGAGTTCAAATCCTAGTTCCACTGTTGTTAGCTATGCATATTAAATTAGCTAATATGAAGGGCTTAATAGAGTGCCTGGCTCATAGTAATTAGTAACTACATTATTAGTTATTCAGTAACAGTGTATTCTCTACCTCCCCAAATAGTCCTTACCATTGACAAACAGTTTGGGGGGGAGGGGGAGTGTTAATCCTCACCTGAGGATATTTTTTCATTGCTATTTAGAGAGTGGACCCTGATCGGTTTGGCTCAGTGGACAGAGCATCGGCCTGCGGACTCGAGGGTCCCAGGTTTGATTCCGGTCAAGGGCATGTACCTTGGTCGCGGGCACATCCCCAGTAGGAGGTGTGCAGGAAGCAGCTGATCGATGTTTCTAACTCTCTACCCTCTCTCTTCCTCTCTGTAAAAAATCAATAAAATATATTTAAAAAATAGAGAGTGGAAGGGAGGGTGGGAGACAGAGAGAGAAACATCGATGTGAGAGAGACACATCAATTGGTTGCCTCCCGAATGTGTCCAGACTGGGAACAGAGGTCAAGCCTGCAACTGGTACATGCCCTTGACCAGTGTCAAACCCAGGACCCTTCAGTCCACAGGTTGATGCTCTATACACTGAGCCAAACCGGCTAGGGCCATTGACAAACAGTTTTGATATTATTCCTAACTTCATCAAAAATAGGAATTAAGTAAATTAATGTATATTCGTTTCAAATGTATATTTCCTATTTTATTAAGGAAATAACCTTTTATTTTTAAGTTTACTGAGAATTAGGAAGAGGTGTTAAATTTTATCAAATGCCTTTTTTGCCTATATTGATTGTTTTTCGTTTCATTAATGTATTGGATTACATTATAGGTTTCATAGTATTGACTCAGTCTCATAATCTGGAGTAAATCCAGCTTGATCTGATTACAATGAGATTTATACATAATGAAAATTAAATATCTGTTTTAGGCTAATTAATTATGCTTATTTTTTCATCTATATTCAGACTTCATAGAGAAGCAATAATATTCTATACAGCTCATCAGTCTCTCTGTGTTTGTTTAATAGGCAGAAAACCAAGGAAATGGACTGATGGAGCACCACTTTGAGCTCCACGTAGACAAGGTTAAAGGGCTGGTCCCTCTTCAGGCCACAGTCTGGGGAGAAGCAGATTGTTATGTTCAGTACTACTTTCCAGTTCAAGACTCACAATCCAGTGTGTTAAAAGGACCTGAGTTCCTTGAAAATGGTAGGTGGAGGAGATTAGGCCTTCTCATTCTTGTTTAATTCTTTTACTGGATATACTTAGGAATTTTTTTTTCCTGAGTGAATTTTGTGTTCCTCAAAAATTAGTCTTACCTGGGCAACACAGGAGATAGGCTAAGTGTTTATTTTACTTTTTTTAAAAAATTTTTGGTAACTTTTTATTTTAATTTGGCTTCAAATTTATGGAAAAGTTGTAAAAATAGTACAAAGAACTTCTGTGTATCCTTTCTAGATCCATCAAATTATTTACATTTTGTCCCATCTTATATCATTTGCATGTCTACTCATTCTTTTTTTTTTTATGTTTTTATTGATTTCCAAGAGAATGAGAGAGAGATAGAAACATTGATGAGAGAGAAACATCAATCAGCTGCCTTCTGCACATCCCCTACTGGGAAATGGACCTTGATAGGACTTACAGTCTGGAGATAATAGGTTCTGGCTCCAGGTCTGTGACCTACTAGCTCTAAGACCTTCAGGTTCACCATGTAACCCAAGGTGTTCATTCATATCCTCATCTATGAAGTAGGAGTAATAATACCTCCTTTGTTTTCTTTATAGGAATATTGTGAGGATAAAATTAAATAATATTGGACATTAACATACTGTCTTACTACGTATAAAACACTAAATGATGTGTTGATTATTCTGAATTGCTGTTCTTTTCCAAAGGAATCACTCTGAGGCCTTTCAGATCTGCAACCACACTCTGTGTTCCAGATCCCATCTTTAATAGTCAGCACCATCACTCTCTCCTGTTGCCAACAGAAGTTCCAGTGCAAAGGCTCCTACTCAGTGCCTTCTCTGCACAAGCACTTGTGCCCGGAGGTGGAGTCCACTTTGAAATCTGGTGCAGGTAGTGTGGAGAACCCAATCCTGTGCTTAGGAAGGAAATACACAAGCATAGAGCATCCTTCCCATAACTAGTCTAGGTTGAATTATAAGGAAGCTAAGCAGTCCCTTCTGCCGTGTTTTATATTATTTGTGTTTGTTAATGATTGTTGAATAGATTATTGAAATCTATTCAATTATTAGGCTCTTGGAAGCAGTTGTATCTTACACTTCTAACCACTACATATAAGTGAAATTCCATCAGTTTTACCTCCTGTTCTCTCAAATGTATCAGTCACCTTTTTCTGATTATCTTACTGCCTTATTTAGTTCAGGCCCACATTAGATCATGCCTAAATTAATGTAATGGCCTTTTTATAATCTGTTCTTCCCACCACCAGAAGAGTATCCTTCATAAATATAAATCCACTCATGTCACAAACTTTGGCAATTTCCAGAAAAAATAATGGCATTAAAACAGGTGTTCAAACTCCTCCCTTGCATCCCCATCCCCAAGAAGCCAACTAAAATGACTAAGAGTATAATTCTAAAAGGAGAGAGACCAACATCAGGAACAGAAGTAGGGAAGGGTACAGCCACTTGCCAGAACCTTTTCCTAAATAGAATCAGGGGGAAATTAGGTTTGATAACTTTGTGATCTAAGAATGGGATGTTTTGAGATGAGTGAAATGGTGTAGGTACCAACAGATCCTTATACACCTCCAAATTTGAGGGGCTTGGGCCTAAAGACGAAGAAATTTAGACTGCTCCACCTAGAACCACTCTGCTACTGCAGGATGGATACTTTCAGGAGCGGCTGCTCCCAAAGGTCCAAGCCAGATGCAGATACCTCAAACAGAATGCCTGTGGGAAGCTGGGCTTTATCCTGAACACAGAGTAATTTATGGGGTTCCATCTCCACGTAATGGGCAATAAATCCAGCGAGACACAACCACAGCTGTATACCACAAATACAGGTCGGGCTCCAAAGTTGATCCCTAGAGCAGACTGAATCATTTATCTGCCTAATTCTTCCAACGACAGCTTGTGCTTTTGTGGCTTACAGATACTATTATCCTAATGTGAGAGACCAGATGGTCGCCAAAGGAACCTTGCCATTATCGAGGATCTGTGCCATGGTAACCATGCAGCACCGTGAGGATGTGGGAATGCAGACCTTTAACCTCCCTTTAACCCCCAGGCTTGAGAATAGGAAAGAATTGAGGAACCAGTCAGGTAATTGAGGACTGTTTTTGTTTTTCCCTTTCAAAGTCAGTATGCATAAATATCTCCTTTTCTCTAAATTAGTGTTTCTTCACATGTTGTGGTATTTACCCTTCTAAGAATCTGATTAAAACTCTGAGGCCCCTTCTGTTAGAAAAATTAGTGTAGAATATACACTCCAAATTTTGCATACAACTTTAGAAAATTTATAGTTCCATACACTGTCTACATAAATGTTTCTTGTCTCATTTCACCTTTAAATTCAGCGAGTGTTGAATAAACCCTCGCAGCCTAAATCCTAAGTATTATACAGATTTACTCAGAGAATTATTATTCTAAGGCAATATAAGCAGATGTGGGATTGGTGGAATATATTTACATGAACTAGGAATTCACTGTAATAGAGTAGAAGGTTAGGATTTAAAGTTGGAAGGAATTAATTAGAATTTGAAGTTTTGAATTCTATCCTAATGGTTCCATTAGGATGACCCAACCTCCAAGTACCTAACATAATAGATTAATAGGATTAGCCTCTAAAATTAAGTTATGGTATAAGCTTTCTGGAGAGTATCTGTGAAACAAAAGGTTTTATCTTGCCATGGTTAAGATTATTTCCTCCTGATGCTCACTGATCAGCTTGTTCTGTTGTTCCTTAAAAAAAAAAAAATAAGATGGTATGTGAAGGGTGGTGGCAGGAGGGTAATAGGAATTTGAGTTTAAAAGAAGAAAAGCTAGAGCTCATCTCAATTCTGTAAATAACTAGGAGTTTAGGAAACCTGGATATGAGTTCTGCCTCTGATAGTTGTATAATCATGGCAGGCAATTGTATCTCTGAGCCATATAATCTTGAATATAAAGGATAAATAGTAACTACTATTACGTGTGTTTTTTTAAATATATATTTTTTTACTTCAGAGAGCAGAGAGGAAGAAAGAGATAGAAACATCAGTGTTGAGAGAGAATCATTGATTGGCTGCCTCCTGCATGCCCCACACTAGGGATAGAGCCCACAACCAGAGCATGTGTTCTGACCAGGAATTGAACCATGACCTCCTGGTTCATAGGCCAACAGTCAGCCACTGAGCCACACCAGCCGGGCTATCTTTATTAATCCTACAGTACAATAATTTAATGTGATTCTGACCATGGGCAGATCCTCTCACTGCTAAGGACCCTTATTGTTCATTAGGATTACAGAGTTTATTCTCTTCCTTCCTAACCAGAATTTGGGGCTTGGTAGAACCGAGATTCTTCCAACCCACCTTTTTATTTTGTTTTCCTTTTTCCTGATTCTTCAGGTTTACTAGATGTGGGCCTGAGGTACAGGCGTACTCCAAGGACAGCAGAGGGAGTTCTTGCTGGCCGAGCTGTCTCTATCTCAGTCCAGATTATCCGAGCCTGTGGTCTGCAAGCAGCAGCCAAGTAAGTTCCCTTAAAAAGCAATTCTTAAACATTTTCCCACTGCACTCCACAAGATTTACAATGCTCAGATACACAAACTTTCTTATGTACAATTTCCAGCTCATTAACCACAACTCTACTTTTTTTGTTGTTTTTATAAGAAAGCATATAAGAATATAAGTGAATAAATATTTGCAAACTCTGCTATTTTTTTAATTATCAGCAATTTAGTTCCTCAACCTTGTCCAACAACTTTATCCTCAACCCTACTTAAGCACTTAATACCCACGGTCATACTCTACACCCGCGAAACATGCCAGGACCAGTCATTGATACTCTTCTGTAATCTCAAGTTCTGTCTCTGAATAGCAGCTTCTATTTTTCTAGTTTGTTCACCTTCAAGTCACTTCTCAATACAGAAGCCAGTTATCCCATGGAAACTTAAGTCAGGTCTTGACACATCTCTATTTATTTTATTAGACACGTCTCTATTTGAAACCTACCAATGACTTTCCATATCGGTCAAAGTAAAAGCTAGACTCCTTAAAATGGCAGTAAGGCCCCACATGATCTGACTCCATTATCTTTGTGACTCACCTCTTTTTGCTAGTCTTCCCTCTGCTTATCCCACTCTGGCCCTCTTATTGCTTCTGAACACACCAAGCTCATTTTCCTCTTAGGGCAGGGGTGGGCAAACTTTTTGACTCGAGGGCCACAATGGGTTCTTAAACTGGACCGGAGGGCCGGAACAAAAGCATGGATGGAGTGTTTGTGTGAATTAATATAAATTCAAAGTAAACATCATTTCATAAAAGGGTACGGTCTTTTTTTTTTTTTTAGTTTTATTCATATCAAACGGGCCGCCGGCCCACCGGCTGTAGTTTGCCCATGGCTGTTGAGGGCCTTTGTCTTAACTATTTTCTCGACCTGGACCACTTTTTCTGTATATAAGCAGCTTGGCCCTCTTTGCCTCCTTCAGGTCTTAACTCATTTTTTTGGTTGATTTTTCTTTGTTAAATGGCATTTAAATATATAAAATAAATATCAAAAATATGTCTTTGTTTTACTATGGTTGCAAATAGCAAAAAAATTCTATATGTGACACGGCTCCAGAGTTAAGTTAGGGTTTTTCAAAATGCTGACACACCAAGCTCAAAAGGTTCGCCATCACTGTTCTATACCAATGTATAGTTTTTTTTATTACTTCCATTTGTATAGATAATTAATGTTACATTTATTAACCAGTAGAATATAGTAAAGTCAGAAACAAGTTTTACATGGCCTCTATTGAAGAAGAAATTCTTGGTACTCTCAACTTGTTCCTCCTTTGAATCTTCACTCTGGTATCCAGATTGCAGGTGCTCTGAAGTGAGCCTTCTCACTTGCTCGGTGGTTAGAGCGCGTGGGAGGCAACCAGTCTCTCTCTCTCTCTCTCTCTCTCTCTCGCTCTCTCGCTCTCTCTCTCTTTCTTTTTACCCCTCTCCCCCCTCCACGTCCTCCCTTCCACTCTCTCTAAAAATCAATGAAAAAAAATCCTCAAAGCAAAGCTCGGTGGTTAGAGCGCGTGGGAGGCAACCAGTCTCTCTCTCTCTCTCTCTCTCTCTCTCGCTCTCTCTCTCTTTCTTTCTCTCCCTCTCCCCCCTCCACGTCCTCCCTTCCACTCTCTCTAAAAATCAATGAAAAAAAATCCTCAAAGCAAAGCCCCACTTCCTTAAACACACATTCCTTCAAATCACCTAACATGAGCCCAGTGCTGTAAGTCCTTTCTGAGACCTACTTACTAAGGTGCCCCATGATTCCCACAGTGTGTGTTCAATAGTGTGTTCTCCCTGTTACAGTGAGCCCTGAACCCAACTTGTTCAGCTGTAGTTGGTTCCTGGTAGCCTTTGGCTAAAATACACTGGCCAAACAATGAAGTGTCTGTGAAGTGTCACTCTGGTGTGGATGACTGCTGTCTCTTCCCACCCCCATACACACACACTCTGAAACCAGATTACTAAGAAAGCACACTGTGGCACTGCCAAAAGCCTAGATCGGAAATACGGTCGCTTAATGTTCTTGCCTCACAGAGATGGTGGAGATGTTTTCCGAGCAGGCAAGCTGATTTTTTGTATTTCTTTCTCCTCCTGCCCACTCTGTCCCTCCTTCCCCTACAGGGCTTTGGCTGAGCAGGAACCCGCTCTACAGTTTAGTGCCTCAGTAGGGGTCAATGCCTTTGTCACCGTTCATCTCTCCTTCCTGCCCAAGGGAGAACAGCGCCAAACCCGCCCTGTGGCCTGTACCTTCTGCCCTGAGTTCTCCCATCACACTGAGTTCTCATGTAACTTAGTAACTCAGCACTGCAGTGGAGAGGCCTGTTTCCTGGCAGAGCTGTTGGAGTTTGCAGAGGTCACTTTTGCCATTTATCATGAAGATACCAAGTCAGGTGAGCACCAAATGGCTCATCACAATCATAATTAAAAGGGACTCTGTTTTGAATGATATGTCTTTCCTAGAAGATACATGCTGAAGTATTTAGGGATGAGAAGTTATATTCTCTGCAACTTAACTTCTGAAGGGTATAATGAAAATAAGTAGAATATGTATTGACTATGTGTGTATGTGAGAATGTAGAGAAAGATAAATGTGTCCGGATGTTAGTGGGTAAATCTAGGTGAATTTCATTGTAATATTCTTGAAGACTTTCTATATGCCTGAGTTTTTTCAAAATAAAATTATTTAAAATTACACACACACTCATCCATATATGACTACTTTAATTAAAACCATTTAAAGGGCATTTAATTGGAGCAAGATGATCTCTAATGCATCTTCTAACACTAAGATTTAGTGAGTATAAGTGAAGGGTTATGTGAATATACTGTAAATACAAACTCTTTGGTCAGTAGATCCCCAAGTAATTTCTCTTTTTTGTTTGATTTGACAGTCAGTGATATAACCAGTATCCAGTCATTAAAAAAGTATCTGCTTGGAGTAGTAAAGGTTCCAACAAAAGAATTGCTAATCAAGAGGTCTGGTAAGGATCCTAGATTATCACTTTTTAATCCTACCTTTCCCATTCACTTCCCTGTAAGAGACCATCTGTCTAACTGCCATAAAATGTGCAAAAGAAAATATGATCCTGTAACACATGCTCCTGAATTCTCCCAGATACCTCAAAAGTTTTCTCAAAAGCGTTTTAAACCCTAGCTGGTATTTAGAGCATAGGCCTACATAACAGTGGGTCACAGGTTTGATTCCTGCTCAGGGGGATGTATACCCGGGTTGCAGGTTTGGTCCCCAGCCATGTGCAGGAGGCAACCAAGCAGTGTGTCTCTCACATCAATGTCTCTCTCTCTCTTCCTCCCTCTCTCCCTCTTCCTCTCTCTCTCCCTTTCTTTTCCTCTGTTCCTCCCCCCCTCCTTCCTTCCCTTCGAACTCTCTCTAAAAAAACAAAGGAAACAATATCCTCAGGTGAGGATTAACAAAAAAGAAAAGAAAGGGCATTTTAAGTCTTCTAATTATTTCAAAGTTTTTCTAATAAAGTAAAGAAGCTCAAAACATTGTACTGTCATCTTCCTCTAGGAAAAATAATGATAATGATACTAATAAATATGGTGATATCTATTACATTAAAGTGCACTTGCCAAGTGCTATATAATGTAATAGATATCACCATATTTATTAGTATCATTATCATTTAAGTACAAGTTCTTAAATCTTGTAATAGATATCACCATATTTATTAGTATCATTATCATTTAAGTACAAGTTCTTAAATCTTGTTTAAGACTGGCAGGGGTACAGGATCTTATTCTTTTCATTTGACAGATGACAGAAAAGTTAGGCTCATAGAGGTGATTTGCAAATACCACACAGCTAGTGAGTGGCAGTACTGGAAATCAAATCCAGATTACCCATTCTTTTTTTCTAAATTGTTTTCATTTGGTGAAAAAGGAATAAGGACATGAGGTGAAGATACAATCACCAAGGCAGTTTGGAATTAGTGGTCCTATCCTACTTATTACTCGACTGGTGACCTTGACAAAATGACCTTGTCCTCTGGGCCCCAGTTTTCTTAGCTCATGGATGGAGACAGTCTGTAGGTAGGAATTGATTAAATAGGATAACATTGACACATAATAAGCACTCAGTAAATGTTTTCCTTCTCTTGTCCATTTTCCTCCCTAGGGTTATGTAATCTAGTTTCCAAAATTCTGTCATACAGCTCCCTGAGCAATACTCTAATAAGCAGGCACTGTGTGCCTGGCAGAGAGAAGTCTGTACAACTTAATAATAGAGTTTAACTCTCACTTCTGTCACTTACTGTTTGTGATCTAGAAAAAGTTCCGTTATCTCTCAGATCCATAGTTTCCTCATCTGAAAATTAGAAATAATAAGATCAACTTTGCAAGATTATTGAACCAGTCAATGAAATTATACATGTAAAGGATCTTGGCACATAGGAAACCTCAGTTTCTCTCCTGAAACTTACTACAGAGTTTGTCAGGCAATAGGCACCATCTGGGAAATTTCATATTTGCAAATTAGATTTAACCCCTTGGAAATAAACCTTTTAGACAGTTTGGGATATATCTTTGTCTTTGTTTTCAGAGTTATTCTAAACTGAACTTTCTATTTTCTTTCCTCCTGCCAATAATCTCAATTATTGAATCACAGAGCAACAGGAACCATCTAATCTAGCAGTTTTTAATTGCTGAAATGGTGTGAAAATTAGTGTGTGTGTGTGTGTGTGTGTGTGTGCGCGCGCATTTGTGTGATTTTCTGGGGGTAATAGCCAAAGGGATCTGTAACCAAAAAATGTTAAGAACCACTAGGTTGTGGGGAAATTAATAACCAGAAGGGAGAAGGTACTAAAGCTAAGGCCGTAAGTTCTTAGACTGACAAAGCCTAAAAGAGTCTAAGAGATCAATATATTTAGCGTCCTCAGTGTACGGATGAAAACTAGGAAGGCTCAGAAAAATTAAAGGCTTTTTCCAAAAGTCACAAAGTCATAAGTGATCTTTGGCAAATTAATTTCAATAAGTCTAAATATTCTCATCTATAAAGTATAATTAATGAAACCTTTCTCATAAAATTGTTGTGAATATTATTATATCAATCCACAGTCTGTTTTATATAATTGTGAAATCCAAAAAGCTTCAAAATCAAGTTTTTTATTAACTCATTAAACTGCAGATCTGACCTCAACTGACAGACTAGTCTTTATTTATGACTTACACGGCTTCCTGATTATATGAAATTTTATTAGAACACATAATGACCAATATTTACATATTGTGTATGGCCACTTTACACAACAACAAGGTAGCTGAGCAGTTGAAACAGACCATATGGCCCAAAGTCTAAAATATTTAGTCTGTCTTTTGGAAGAATAAGTTTACCAACCCTGACTTACATGACCACTGACCATTACATAATATTTTGTTTATGTACCATATTATCTTTCTAAAATATGAAAAATTCTAAATTCAGAAACAAATCTGGCCCTAAGGGTTTCAGATAAGATATTGTAAACCAATAGTAGATGGAATGTAGACTGGAACCAGTTAGACCTGGGTTCAAATACTAGCTCTACCACTTGGTAGCTATAACAACTTAGACAGGTCTCTGGGTTTCCATTTTTTCTTCTACAAAATAGGGATTCTTATCCCAGTTAATCCTCAGAATTTCACAGGGTTATCAGGAGAATGAAATGAACTAATATATATATATAACTAGGGGAATTTCTGACACATAGTAAATACTCAATAGAGAAGCTGTTATTATTTTGAAATCAAATTCCTGGCCCTTGGTATATGTTCACTAAGTGGCAGTTCCCTGGAACTAGACCCCAAATTTTCTGATTGCTTGTCCCTTGCCTTTTTCATTATATTATCCTATAGCCTATATAATAAAAGGCTAATATGCAAATTACCCCCTCAGGAGTTCAACCAATCAGGAGTTCAACCACTCGCTATGATGTGCGCTGACCACCAGGGAGCAGCGTGGAATGAAGGAGGGCCACGGCAGGCAGCCAGAAGGCCCCCATTGGCCCTGATTGCTGGCCAGCCTAAGAACCCTACCCATGCATGTAGTTCATGCACCGGGTGTCTAGTAACATCATAATAACATTTCAGGTCTTGTGTAGTACTTCTAAAACCATTATCATTTAATAATCATAACAACTTTGTCTGGTAGGCAAGATCAGCAGTAATTTTCCCATTTGTCAGGTAAGGACAACAAAGCTGAGAGAAATAAATGGCTTACCCAGATTGACCACTAGTTTTGGGCTGAGCCAAGGAGAGAATTTAGATCTTTCATCTCCTAGACTTTGGTCTTCAACCTGTTCTCATTGCCTTTCAGTGGTCAGATGAAACAAACTACAATGCACTGTTCAGTATATGTTTTCTGTTCTATCTTGGACTAGGCCAGTGGTCGGCAAACTCATTAGTCAGCAGAGCCAAATATCAACAGTACAATGATTGAAATTTCTTTTGAGAGCCAAATTTTTTCAACTTAAACTATATAGGTAGGTACATTGTTACTAATTTAATTAGGGTACTCCTAAGGCTTAGGAAGAGCCTTAGGAGGCCAAAGAGCCACAGTTTGCCAACCACGGGGCTAGGGTGAAGGTGACTCTGGAGTGGATAATGGGTAAGTCTTTGTACTTTTAAGATAATAATTGAAAATGTTTTCTCCCATAAGGGATCACAGGATGGTATCCTATTGTTTCACCAGAAGATGGGGCCATGCCTCATGGCTTGGAGCTCATGCAGAAGATTGTGGGTGGTCTGGAGCTTTCGGTTTCCTTCACCCATCCAGGAGACAGAGAACGGGTGTTGGAAGCTGCTGAACTATTGGGCTGGAGCTTTGAGAATAACCTGAAGGATCTTGTCAAGATGGATGAGGAGGAGCCAGCCACTATCACCATCTCCACACCAAGGCTCTGGCTGCCCATCCATTGCGTGCTGCTTGCTGGCCAGAAGCACATTCATAAGAGCACATATTGCTACCTCCGCTACAAGCTGTATGATCATGAATGCTTTTGGACTCCTCTCAAGAAACCTAAGGAATCTACAAACCAAAAGCAGGTCATAGTTACTTTTAAGGCATCCAAAAAAGCAGAAATCTTTAGGGGCCCGTCACTGCTTTGGTACTTCAGGGAGGAGAGATTAGAGATCCAAGTGTGGCGGGCTTATGGCAATGAAAATGTGGAGAGGCCCCACAATACGGACAGCTGGATTGGCTCAGCCTATGTGGACCTGTCCAGACTTGGGGAGAGGACAGCAAGGACACTGACTATCAGTGGTAAGTTAAGAACCAGCCTCAGCTCTTGTGGTTTGAGCACCTGCTCTATGACAAGCACTATGTGACATACCCTCGCAGACATTTTATTTGATCCAGCAATCCCGTGAGGTAGGTATTAGACCCATTTTATAGTCATGAAAATGGAGGCTCACAGAGGTTGGGTAACTGCCCAGGATCATAGGAAATGTTCTTTCCATTATTGTGTGCTGAAGATTAATAGTAACTTAGTGATGTTTCTCATAACTAAAGAGATTCCAAAAAGAGGTTTGCTGGCTGCTTTAAAAAGAGCATTATCTCCTGACAATCTACCTTCGTTGAATCACCACAGCTCTAAGAACTGGCTCTGAACTTAGTAATTTTAGAGTACATCCAAATATGTCAGATTTTTGCACCTAACGTACTGCCTACAACATTGCAAGCACTCAGTTAATATGTATGACGTAATGAGTAAATTTAGGGGACTACTGTAATCAATCACTTGTGTAAGAACTTATATGATAATCTAGAATCCTAGTTTTTTAAATACACTGAAAAGCATACCTGCTAATGAAACTAGGATATCCTTTCTCTCTGGTCAGCAGATTTTGAAATCATAAAGAAAATCAATATAGTACATTGGTTCACAGGCAGAAAGGAAAAAGGTAACATTATACAAGTGGCATTATGTGCTGGGTACTTTCCTTTCAAACATTTGTTCAATACATGATAAATGTACTGGGCCCTGGGAACTCAGGTGAATAGGAAATAATGCTGACCTCAATAGAGTAGTAAATACACAATTACAGTGAAGCATACAAACTATGAAGAAAGTTTTCTCAGTGGTGCTAAGGGAGCACAGGGGTTCAGCATCTCTTTAGTTTAAGGACAACATCTCAGGGAAAAAGACCCAATTTTCAAAGAATTTAGGAATAAGCCAAGAAAAGTGGGAAACAAGGGTGTTTTAAAAGGGTGTGTGTGGGGACACAGAGGCCTGAAGCAGTTTGATACATTTTAGGCACTATAAGTAATTTGGTGCTGCTGAATCATAGGATACACAGGTTGGGAAATAATGGGAGATGAAACTAGAGAGGTGGGCAAGAATATGATGTTGAAGGCCTCTTCTAAGCAGAAGAGTTTGGAGAGCTATGGAAAACTATAATGGGTTCTGTATAGAAGAGTGACATAGCTTTGCATGCTAGAAAAAAGTAAGTCTAGCAACTATAGTGCATAATAAATGGAGATGACCAGACTAGATTTTTTACAAACATGGTATTTATCCATCTCATATATATGTAAGGTTGTTATTTCCCTACCTAAAAATAGAAAAAGACAGGAAAGGTGCCATCTCCCCCCCCCCCCCCATAAAGATGCTTTATTGATTTTTGGAGAGAGAGGGAGAGAGAGAGAGATACCTCAATGTGAGAGCGCCAGGCATGTGCCCTGATCTGGAATCAACCAAGCCACACCAGCCAGGGCAGGAAAGGTTCCATCTTATGCTATCTGTAAATCAGTTAACTGTATTTTCCTGAATTGGAATGAGTCTACTAAAGCAAACTTTGGGCTTCTGAAAGAAATATTAGTGCCTTATGCTTTATAAATAAAATCTCATTGAATATCCAGCAAGCCAATAAAGCTCATATCCCTGAATTTAAATCTGCCACTTATTGAAAAAGTCATCTTTGCAGGGTACTTAACCCCTCTGAGATTCTGGCACACGAAAAAACAGTCAACAAATACTGATTTCTTACTTTCTTGCCTCCTCTGCCACCGCCTCCTACTTCCCTTCCAAATGGTCTCCAGGTCTACTGCCAAAACGTATTTAGTTAGTGAAACAGGCTAAATTGATGAGAAGCAGCCCTAAGAACAAGAGTCAGTGGGACATGTGGAAAAGAAGTCAGGCCGCTCCTGATTTCATAAAAATCTTGGACTTGTAAGTGGCTTCAGAAGTCATAAAATCCTAGTTACCCCTCAGCACATGAATCCCTTCCACGACAGCTCTGCCTGTAGTCATTTGGCTTTGTCTTCAATTCTAAGCTCTCACTACTTTCCATTATTGGAGATAGTGCGTGACAAGAGGGATGGGGAGTGTTGGGGGAGTTAAAAATTTTCACAATGTATAGTAACTTCACAGGTTTTTTTGCAAATTGGTATGTTGGGGCCTGTACGTCTACAAAAGGAAAGAGGGACCACAAGCACCCTCTTTGAGCATCTCTTCCACGGTCATTGATTCCTGCTTGCTTAAGCTTATTCTCCTGTGTTCTTTTGCAGGTGTGTATCCTCTCTTTGGACGAAATGCTTCCAATCTCTCAGGAGCTGCCTTGCGAGTTCATGTGGTTCTTTCCTCTCTCTCCCCACACCCTGGGCCCACTCATGAGCTGGACTCCATGGACTGCAGCAGCCACAGTGAGTCTGAGCAACTCCCCAGAAGGAAGGATGAGATCCAACTCTCGGTACCACCTGACCACCAGAAGCCTCCCACCTGCACCCAGGTTCCCTGCGACATCACCACAGCTGAAGTCTGCCCAGCCCAGGAGGGTCCTGCTGACTTGCACGTAACTTTTGCAGTCAGCATCCTGGTGGAAAGAGCAATGCACTTAAGCTTGAAAGGTATGCTCTACTCACTTATCCAGAAACATGTATCTTATTCGTCAGGCTGTGGTCACATCTTCACAGATCTTTCAAATCATGGCAGCATCTGCAAGAAGTGTTAACCATCTTAATCAATAGTTATATTTTTCAAGCCTAAAGCTTAAGCAACCTGAAAGCCTTTCCAAACATAAGTGGACCTTGTCAGTTATCCTAATTTTGCATATCATAAATTTCCCAGTCCAGAAACCTGAGTATCAGCTTAAATACTTTTCCTTAGTTACCATCAAATTGTAAAATTCATTAAATTGTTTTCTGACTTAATTTTGTTTTAGATCTCTTCCTTCTTTTCCATTGCTACCAACTCAGGCCTTCACTGTACACTGAGGGCAAGACTTTTTTTTGGTTTGGTTTGGTTTGGTTTGGGTTTTGGTTTTGTTAATCCTCACCTGAGGATATTTCTCCATTGATTTTTTTTAAAATATATTTTTATTGATTCCAGAGAGGAAGGGAAAGGAATAGATAGAAACATCAGTGATGGGAGAGAATCATTGATTGGCTGCCTCCTCCACACCCCCTACTGAGGATCGAGCCCTCAAACCAGGCATGTGGCTTTGACTTGATTCAAAGGAGAGAATCTGATTGGCTGCCCCCTCCACACCCCCTACTGAGGATCGAGCCCTCAACCCAGGCATGTGGCTTTGACTGGAATCGAACCTGGGACCCTTCAGTCCGCAGGCCGACACTGTATCCACTGAGTATCCACTAGGGCTCCATTGATTTTTAGAGAGAGTGGAAAGGAGGGAGGATGAGAGAGAGAGACATCAATTGGTTGCCTCCCCAAGACATCCCTACTGAGACTTGGGGAACAAACCTGCAACCCAGGAAAATACCCTTGACCAGGAATCGAACTTTCGACCCTTCAGTGCTCGGGCCGATGCTCTACCACTGAGTGACACAAGCCAGGGCAGGCCAAGAGTTTTTAACACTGGATTCATAAAACCCCCAAGGGAGCCAGGATAAAAATCAGGGTTGGTGAACTTGGATAGGAAAATAGTTACACATCTTACTTTTATTAGTCCCTAACTCAGTGATTTTCAACAGGGGTTCTGGGATGAAGAGTGATCCCAGATGTAAGCCAGCAAAATCTTACTCTGTTTTTCTTGACCAGATCCATGTTGGAAAGTTAGAGTGAAGTTCCTCGCTTTTCTAATAAGTTAAAAGTAATTTATTTTGTATAGTGCTGTACAATTAAGAAAGTACTTTATCATGATTATTTTCCTAGCAACTACATGAAGTAGGTCATTTTCATTCTCTTTTATACTTGGCCTGGTGCACAACTTCATGCACTAGTGGGGTCCCTCGGCCTGGCCTGCGGGATCAGGCTGAAACAGGCTCTCTGACATTCTCCAAGGGGTCCTGGGTTGTGAGAGGGTGCAGGCCAGGCCAAGGGATCCCACCGGTGTACGATCGTGGCCAGGGAGAGACGCAGGATGTTGGCCAGCCAGGTAGGGACTGCAAGAGGCTCCAGGGCATGTCTAGCCCTTCTCGCTCAGTCCCGATTGACCGGACCCCAGCAGCAAGCTAACCTACCAGTCAGGGTGTCTGCCCCCTGGTGGTCAGTGCATGTCATAGCAACTGGTCGACAGTCTGCCCCTTGGTGGTCAGTGCTTATTATAGCAAGCAGTTGAGTGAGCTTAGCATATCATTAGCATATTACACTTTGAATGGTTGAACGGCTGACTGGTTGACTGGACACTTAGCATATTAGGCTTTTATTATATAGGATTTTCTGACAGAGTTCCTAACTAGAAAAGAAAAATATTCATTTAAGAGTTATATTATTTAATATTGGTGATAGAAAATAATTGATGATATAATTGTGCCTTCCAAATTACGATGTAATAGAAAGAGTTCTGGAATGAGAATCAGAAGATGGAGTTCTGCCCTAGCTGGTTTGGCCAGCAGATAGTGTTCGACTGTGGAAAAGGGCACATGCCCAGGTTGCAGGCTTGATCCCCAGTAGGGAGTGTGCAGGAGGCAGCCAATCAATGATTCTCTCTCATCATTGATGTTTCTATCCATCTCTCCTCTCCCTTCTCTGAAATAATAAAAATATATGTTAAGAAATTTTTTTAAAAAAAGAAGATGGAGTTCTGGCTATAACTGAGCCATTAACTTGGTTGCTTTGGGCAAAGCCATTTCTCTTTTCCTCAACTGTAAAATGTGATCATCATACAAGATCATTGCTAAGATTGTCTTCAGAGTACAGCAGAACATAGAAGTCATGCCTCTCAGAACTGCAATTGGTCCTCTCTGCTGATCTCTCTCAGAATTTTCCTGAGCAGATGTTGCTGTCTCCTGTTGGTATGCACTAAAGCAGACAAGGTAGTTTCTCTCTTCCAACCCTGGCAACCATCTATAAACAAAGAGCAGTGGAAATCTTTAGACCTTTAATAAGGGCCTTGGGCCTACTCTGCAATCTGGGAGCTCTCACTCTGGTAAGGGAAGCACAGACACACAGATCATAATAGACTACTGTGGGAACTGCCGGTAGAGAGGCAGGTTATCTTTCCCCAGCTGTGAAGATGTATGACATTTCATTAAAAGGAGTCAGTTGAGTAGCTTGAAATCTCTAAGGAACTTGGGGGGAGGTAGGAAAGCTATGTCAGGGAGAATCCAGTTACAGGAAACTTCCTCCAGACATTTTAGACAATAAGGGTTTAATATAGAATTTTAAGGTACTTCAAGTCATTGCAATAGCTAGAGGAGTGGGTTTTAGGCTAAGGTTAACCACTAGATCTTTTAAGTTCAGAATCGTATGCCAAAACTCATCATCACTATTATCACAGGGACTCTGAGCACCTAGCAACCAAACCCTGGAACAGAAAATTCAATGTCACCCTTGCTAATAGGAAAAGCAGAAGGAAAAGAAAGATGTCTTCTGCCTCATATCCGCCTTCCAAATCTGTTGTAATAGTGTCTAATTGCAAGAAGCCAATTTTTATCCATACTGTAGCTGCAAAAGAGTCTGGAAAATGTAGTTGTTGCCCTTTCAGTCTTTACAGTAAAGGAATACAATACAGTAAAAGTAGGTGGGGACAGATGCTGACTGAGCATGTCAGTCCATATAAATATTGTTCAGTTTCACTAAAATTAAAACTTTAAGAAGATAACTCACTAGATAAAGGTACTATTGTGCCATTCTATGCATTTTCTATTTGTAACGATGGGTACTATATTAGTAATTTTCATTAACTGTTTTTTGCTTATTACCATTTTGTTAGAATCTTCTTTCCTGCTCTTTCAAGAATGTGCTTGAAAACTGGTTTTGTCATGGTGTAAGACAGTGGTTTTTGTGTTACTTTGTTCCCCATATAGTTCTCCTCTGTATCTTTCGTGACTTTCTGATTCTAAAGCTTTTCTCCCTCCAGGTTCAGCCTTTCTCCAGGTTCTGCTTTGTTGGCAACCCTTACACATGCCTCAGCTCCCTCCTGCCTCGCAGGCACCACCAGATTTCACTTCCAGGGCTAGCATTCCTCTTCCTTCTTGTCAGTTCTCTTTCCCCAGGCCTCCTTACAAAATCTCCACTTCCTTTCTCTCCTTATCACCCATTTTCTTTCTTTATTACTTATCTCCTGTAAGACAGTCTAAAAGTAGTGCCATTTGGTCTGGTTGTGTGCTCTGAGGTGTTGAGAAGTTATGAGATTAAATAACATAATATGTCAATTTTTTACCAAGAGTTGGGGGGGAAATTGTTTTTAGTTTAAACAAATCCTATATAATAAAAGTGTAATATACAAATCGACCGAACAGTGGAATGACCAGTCGCTATGATGTGTACTGACTCCCCACCGGGGGAGTGCCGCTCAGCCAGAAGCCGGGCTCATGGCTGGCAAATCCAGCAGCAGTGGTGGGAGCCTCTCACATCTCCAAGGC